CAGCGCTATAGACAACTCCTCCCTTTTTTTTGGCTTTCTGGTAACTGTATTCGCTGGTACTATTCGATGATTTCTCTGACTTATCCATTGTATTTGTAATTGCAGCATTTCCTTCAGATTTCTTTCCATTTCCTTCTGAGTTCTTAGTCTTACTGTTTCCTTCAGATTTCTTGCTATTTCCATCGCCAAGAACTTTCTGGTAACTGTACTCACTGGTACTATTCGATGATTTCGCTGACTTATCCATTTTGTTTGTAATTGCAGTATTTCCTTCAGATTTCTTGCTGTTGCTATTTCCTTCTGAGTTCTTAGTCTTACTACTTGCTTCAGATTTCTTTCCATTTTCTACTGAGTTCTTAGTCTGGCTGGCCCCTTCAGATTTCTTACTATTTCCATCGCCAAGAAAATTCTGGTAACTGTATTCGCTGATAGTATTCGATGATTTCTCTGACTTGTGCATTATATTTATAATGGACATGCTTCCTTCAGATTTGTGGTAACTGTGTTCGCTGATAGTATTCGATGATTTCTCTGACTTGTGTATTGTATTTGTAATTACAGTATTTCCTTCAGATGTCTTGCTGGTTCCTTCAGATTTCTTGTAATTGTACTCACTGGTACTATTCGATGATTTCTCTGACTTGTGCATTGTATTTGTAATTACAGTATTTCCTTCAGATTTCTTACTGTCGTTGTTTCCATTGACTAACCCATTGTTACTACTTCCTTCTGAATTCTTGCTGTTGCTATTGGTTTTGCTATTTCCTTCTGTGGTCTTAGTCTGGCTGGCTCCTTCAGATTTCTTGCTATTTCCATCGCCAAGAACTTTCTGGTAATTGTACTCGCTGGTATTATTCGATGATTTCGCTGACTTATCCATTGTATTCGTAACACCGGATTTAGCCGCCTGTTGTTCCCGTTCCCGTTCCCGTTGTTCCTGTTCCTGTTTTTGCCGTTCCCGTTCCTGTTCCCGCTTTTGCCGTTCCCATTGTTCCCGTTCCCATTGTTCCCGTTGTTGCCGTTCTCGTTCCTGTTTTTGCCGTTCCCGTTCCTGTTCCTGTTTTTGCCGTTCCCGTTCCCGGTGTTGCCATTTTTCCAGTTCCCGCCATTGTTCGATGGTATAGTATCTCGGAGAAGAACAAAACATTGTTCCTGCAACCGGATATATCCAGCCATTGCATTCGGAGCTATAGCACGGTCTATCAACGAAGCCAGGCACATTCATATAAGTCATTTCTGGATTCGGGCCAAAGTAACCTCGCCGGGGCCTATCAACTAATAGATTTTCATCAAATCTTTTGATTCGGATGTCGGCCAAATCCTTGCTTTTTTTTTCTACCTCCCTATAAGCAATCCGATACTCGGCACTCGTATACTTCCTTTTGGGCGCATTTATCAGGGCGCATTCATCCTCAATCCCGTCTATGGCAGTCTCAAGATACTCATTCGTGAGGTTTTTCATACAATCGAAAGGTTTCTTTTCGTACGTTCTCTTGGTCTTCTCCTCTTTTCTGTGCTTATTTCTCACGTTATCCACATAGTTTTTGAATACTTCCGCATACTTCAGCATCCTCAGAATAGCCTCCACAGCAACTCTCTCATTGCACCGGAAGCGGTATAATGAGCTATTCCCGTCCTCGGATTCATACATTGGTATCTCCTTCAGTAAAGAGAAGAACTCGTCTTCAAGCTCTCTCGCAGGCTTATTCACGTACATGAAAAAAGAGACTAGACTGCTGAGGGCATTCGTCGTTCCCTGGACAGACTCTTTCAAAGTCTCCTCTTTTAACCACTCAGGGTTATGCCCGGAAATAATCTTGACAGCCGTATGGAATTCCATCATCGTGCGGAGTTTGCTCTGCTTTATCATCGCTCCTACCACGTTCCGGCCGAACTTTGTCAGGCCTTCGAGCATGAGGTAGGAGAGATTGTCCAAAAGCGCCCAAACTTCGTCCTGCTGCGAGATCGTGTTTAGGGCCTGGACGTTCAAAAAGGCAGAAGTTTCAATCGCATTCCTCCATGCCGGGTAGTCGAACTTTTTCTCGGAGTCCACATCGCCCGGGTTCAAGACCTCCCAGGGGAAGTTATTTCTTGCAAAGTACGACGGAGATATAAGCTGGTGGATGAGGCTGTGGGCCACCCCAAATCGCAGGATTCGGAGGTTTGAGAGGAAAGTGAATTCTTCCGCCGATAGGTCAAACTCCATCGGCAGATCCGGACTCGCCAGGGCCTTCTCAGCCCGAGCCCTCAAATTTGAGCTCTTCGCAAGCTCGCTCTTGAAGGCAACAGAGACTTTGTCGAGTGCTTTGAGCTTTTTTTCTGTTTCTTCCTGGATGACACTCCTGGAGGAAGAGAAGTCCACAAACTCCACAGGCTTAAATCCAGCATCATCCACGATGTATTTGCTCTTGTTGGAAGCTACACTCTTCACTTTCTCGCTGGCGGCCTGCCAAATGTACTCTATTGCATCCTGGAGTTTTCTGTGCTTCTGGGTTCGAGCCCCAATAAGGGTCGTAGTATTTTGTCTGAACATATCTTCCTCGAGCCTGCCCGGGACGTGTGTGTACCCAGTGTTCGACATGGCATTGATCGCTATTTTGGTGCTATCCGGGAGCTTATAAAAGACTTTATTCAGGAAGTCTGGGACTTTCATGTAGAAAGCCAGCTCTTTCTCTATGTATTCTGCATACGCATCTAGGAGCCCAGCACTTAAGAGGGAGGCTTTTATGGGGCTAAACTTTGTGTCCGTCTGGTCCTTTGCTTTTTCCCCCTCTGTTTTCTCTTCAGTTGGTTTTTTAGTAGTTTTCTCCTCAGTTGGGCTCTTGGTAGTTTTTTCTTCAGCTGGGCTCATAGTAGTTTTCTCTTCAACTGGTTTTTTAGTGGTTTTCTCTTCAGTTGGGCTCTTAGTGGTTTTCTCTATAGGGCTCTTGGTAGTTTTCTCTTCAGCTGGTTTTTTAGTGGTTTTCTCTTCAGTTGGTTTTTTAGTGGTTTTCCAGCTCCCTTTCATAGAGCGTTCTTTGGGGTCGTCCTTGAACAAAAAATCGTATCGGGATTCTATGTCCCTCTTTTCTTGGTGGCGCTCTTTCTTGGGAAGGTTTGCAGTAGCCTCTTTGACATTCGGGAGTACGTTTATGTCCAACTCTTTCGTTGGGGGGCTCATATTGGTAATGTGGTTGCATATGTTGAACGTATTCTCAAAAACGCCTACATTTCCTATATTCGTAGCCTGCACTCGGAGAATTCTGCCTTGCAGGAGAAATAGTCCTGCTATTCTTGCCATCTCTTTCTTTCGCATCTTCATGTCTTCCTGTTCTTGTGCGTATATATAGGCCTCTTTCCCCATTTATCACTTGCCCCAATATATCACTGCCTTTGTTTGTGTTTTGTTTGGGCTTTGTTCACGGGAATATACTGGCAGACTCTGCTTTTCCGTTGTTTTCAGTTGTTTCTCGGGAGTGCAGGAGACTCTGAATGGCCGTTATGCAGGCTATCCCTGGGTCGCGCTGAAAGTGGGCTTGTTTTGGGCGCAGGCGGGGAGAGAGCGGAGAGGCCCGGCTTTGTTTGCCTCCTGATGGAAGACTCTCCAAACAAACACTGCATTTAATCGACTGTTTCGGGCTATTCTTTCTGTGGCTCAGCACATTCTGCTGTGAGCACTTGTTTGAAGGGCATAGACTGCGCCCGAGTTCTGGGCGTATTCGGGCATTTGCTTTTATTTGAAACTCTCCAAAGCCCAAAAAAACCAAAAATCTGGACACATTTCTTTCGGGCAGTGGAGTTTATGGAGACTGCCAGAAGAGAGACGGCATACTAGATGAAGAAGCCAGAAGCCCTATACTATCTGTTCTATGTGAAAGCAGCTGCTCGTATTTGGTTATTGCTTAAATCGGCCTAATTAAAGGGCTGCATAACAGATATTAAGAGATAGAATAGTGTCTATATAAGCACTCAATAAAAATAAAGGCTGCAGTTTCACTTAGCACTTTCAGTACTACAACCCAGGGATACTCCTTCTTTTAAGTCCGTTTTTCTCTTCAAATTTTTAGATATGAAAAGCCAGAAAAAGCACGCAGTAATTTGGGCTCTTATGTTCGCGCATTTCCTGGGGGCTCGTGCAAGCGAAAATCCAAAGATGCTCCCGGGAGAAGAAGCTTCTGCAATGGAGAGTCTACACGATGTGTGCATTGAGGGGCTGAACCGCCTCCACAAAGTGACAGAACCCCTCCAGTCCAGAGAAGCCATCTGTACGGCAATTCGGGCAATTAACAGGATGAACCTCAGAAACACGAAGAGAAAGAGTCCCATGTCGAACGGAAACCACCTCCTAAACCCGGACATTAAATCGATGCGAAATAACATCATGGATCCAAAAACCGTTACAACAATTATTATGAACAAGTTCAACGCGGGAACAGTTATAGAAGTAGACCATCCCAGAAAAAAGAATGTTTCCAAAGACCCGAAGTACATGCGTCTCTCGGGGCTCTGTCTTGCCTCTTTTCTCATGCCCCGAAAAAACACGCAGGGCCTTCTTATGTGCTCCTTCCTCGAATGGCCCGTGTGGAAAGAGCATAGCTACGCCATAAATACGAGTAACATAAAAATAACGGAAAAAACGAAAAACTTCCTGGAAAACGACTTGGGGATTCCGGAGGAGAATATATGGTCGGATCTGTGCGTTCTAAGGAATGACGTTTTTCGTCCGAATGCCGTTATTTTGGAGTATGTGAGCAGTGAGACCCGGGATGTCATCTACCTGCCAATGCACATCAAGGACCCACTTCTCCGAGTTTTGCTGATTTTATTCGCTGGAAAGTGCATTCCGGATACGTGCCTTCTGGGATACGACGCAACAGTAGATATCTACTCGAACCCCATCGACATTGACAGGGACGTCTCGCACCTTCTCATCGTTAAGTGTATGCTTGTGCTCGCGTGCTCGTATATATCCCCAGAGAAGAGGAGGCAAATCAACAAAATGGCAGGATTCCGGGAAAGAGACAGGATACTGCGGGTGCAGTACTTGTACTATAAATCTGCGAAGTTTGACTCTGCAGATAGTTCTGTCGATGAGCTTATCAAAATATTTTCAAACCCTGAAAAAATAACGGTTATTACGATGGATTCGTGCATTACCCAGGCGTACATGTTCGAATACTCCCGAATCGCCCCAGGAAAGTGCAAGTACGACCCAACAGAGCATTTGAAGCCCCGAGTCATCGAGAAGATTCTGAAAGACAGAAAAGCCGAGGAGAAAAAGCCCCATGTCCTGCAAGTGAAGACTCCCGCAAGCAAGGCGGAGGAAACTGTGCGAATCGAATGCCCCGAGGGGAGGGACTGGAGCAATAGCCCTTCCGCGGCAGTGCTTGTCTTTATGTGGAGTGATCCCGAAACCCCAGGGATTGTGTGGGTGCAGATTTCCGGGAGTTCTCCCTCCTCAGTGATTTTCAACGGATACGACGTAAATAGCCCTGAATTCCGCCAGGTTTTATACAGCCTTTTCTTCACGCCTGCAACGAAAATGCCCACTCTGGAGTACAGTAGAGCCCTCTGCATAGCCAGGAACAACAAGAGCACGCTCCACTACCTCGCCTGGATAGACATGGCCATGACAGTAAATGGGCGTGGAGCATACAATGACGAAATAACCGAGAAAATTCTGGATAAAACAATCGAGATACAAACGGACAGAAGCAGCGGAATAGACTCACTGCGGGCCCCAATTCCAAAGGAGAAGGATCTTCGCCCAATATGGGAGGAGAGTCTGTTCGCCAGCTGTGCAGCCGTTGCGAGCTACTACCTCCGAGCGAAGATCTACATGGAGAAGATCTCGAACCCGCTCAAGGAGAAGTCCGGGAAGGAAGACCAGGACACGATCAACGAGTACACAGGCCCGATACACGCCCTCCTGGAAGGATATGCCGTAAAACCATCCGATGACTCGAGCGGAGCAGATAAACGCACTCCAGGCAGGAACCCATAGATTATCAGGGCATTCAGATGCTGGGATGGAGAAGATTGCGATAAGCCCGGATATACTTTTGTCTTCGTAGCATCTCCACAGACTTTAATATTCTCCTGGAGATACCTGAGTGCCAACTAATAGACTTACTTTCTCTCTATCTCTCTTGAACTTCTGCGCACGATATAAAATTTTTTCAGGTATTTATACCTTTAATTTAGCAGATTTAAAAGTAACTGTTTCGACCTTTCCATTCACAAGAGTGTGGGAGATGGAGGTTACCGCACAAACCCCAGAATCAGCCTTCTATGCAGCAAATGCCGTTATATGCGAAAACAGTTGCACATTTAGCTGTTGCAGAAGGGCTTAAATCAAGTAGCTGCATAGCATATGTTGTATGCTGAAAGCAGTTGCTCGTAATTGTTATTGCTTATTAGAGTTAATTAAAGAAGTCAATATAAATTAGACTTTATGAGAGAAATTAAAATACTGTCTATTTAAGCAGTAGAAAAATAATAAAGACCGTGAATATTTCACTTAGCACTTCCTGTATTACAACTGCATATATTAAGGAATATACTAAATGCACAAGTATCTAAGCAGGAAAAGCCTAGCAAATAAAGAGGGCAAATTAATCAACAAATCCAACTACTTAAAAAGCAATGAAGACCGTGAATATTACTAGCACTTCCCATTACAACCAAGGCAGCTTTCACAGGGTAATTCCAGCACTGATAGTTGTAACGGGAAGTGCTAGTGAAGTTTATGCCTTCATTATTTTTCGACCTGCTTAAATAGACATTACTTAATTTCTCTCATAAAGTCCTAATCCTGCAGGCTCATAATCAGGCCTTCTAAGCAGCAACCAAACGAGCAACTGCTTTCAGCATAGAACACTGATGCCTAGCTAGATTTATTGATTAATTTAATCACAGCACTTCTACGGATTTACCCTAGTTATAGTTCCAATAGTGTAAACACTGTAAAGTTCACGTCTTTATTCTTTTTTTTCTACTGCCTATAGACAGAGCAAGCCCAGATTCTCTCATCGGGCCATTTTAGCCTAGCAACAACCAAACGAGCAGCTGCTTTCCGATAGAAGGGCGTGTAAAGGCGCATTTATTCGGCATTCAGGCATTCATTCTACTCCCTATTCCTCGTAGGAGAATGTCTTTCTCTTCTGGAGGTTGAGGGCTGATCCCCTCTTCTCGACTGTTTTCCGGGCGAACTCCTTCCTCTTCTCGCGGCTGTCCCTGCTCTCCATCCTCGTCTGTCTGATCTGAGCGTCTGCGTGATGCTTTGCCCTCTCATTATGTGCGTTTGTCCTGAAGTTGGACCCTCTCCCGCGGACGAACTGCTTCGGGAGAGAAGCTGCCTTCTTCACCTCCTGGACCTGGCTCGCCCCCTTCACTCTGTCGAAGGAGAGGCATCTGAACTTATCCGCGCGAAAGACGGATCCCTCCCCGTACGCACTCGGGCTGAGCTTCCCGTCTAAAACGATGCTTGCGTATACATGGTCGTTAAACTTCCCGAATATCTCGTGAATATCTGCGACTTTTCTCTCTCCCTCCCCGTATACTCCCGCGTTGAAGAAGGGGATTACGCCCTCGCTAAGCCGGATCACGAGCATATTCGTGTTCTTCACCGCGTGGGAGAATGTGCCTATTTTCACAAGGTTCTCCGGGGACTCTCTACTTTCCCTCTTCCCAAACTTCATCTGGGGCCAGTCTCTCGCTGTTTTTTTACTTCCCGTCTCTTTTCTGGGGGCACGTGCCATGCGAACTCTAAAATTTTTACGCTATTTTTTCTTTTTGTACGAGGCCTTTTCTCTCGCGGATCTCCCGGGAAAGGCTTTGCTCGTACTCCGGCCTCTCCGGGGGAATAAAAAAGACTTTTTTTTCTGGGAGAATATCTGCCTCTCCCTTCGTCTGCTGGAGAAGAGCGCTTACAAGGGCCTTAATCTCTGAGACGGGGACTCTCAGGCGGAAGAGGATGGAGGCATCCCGCACTTCCGTGGAAGCCAGGCGAACTGGGGCCTTGGATATCGCATTTCCTGCAGCTTTTGCGTGGGGGAGGGGGACGGAAACCTGCAAAAGCGTGTGATTTACGAGGAGTCTGGGCGTGGAGTTGAGGTATACCTGCGGGAGAGTTTCGGGCGCACTTTCTCCTGCGTCCTCCGCCCTTTCCACGCGAAGAGCGAGCATATTGCACTTCTCCAGGAGGAAAGGTCCTGCCTGAAGGAGGGAGAAAATGCTGAGTTTTACCTCCTGGGGGAGATCCTCAGGGCAGGAGAGAAACAAGTCTCGCCCGAAAAGGCGCCTGTATCCCCCGGAATTCTCCTCTGGCACTTCTAGGACTCTCTTAAAGGCGACTTTATACGGGGTCTCAGAGTTCGGGAATTTTACGACTCCGGATCCTCCCTCTACAGTCTCCTGGTAGACTCCGGACTGGTCCTGCGTGGTGAACCTGAAACCCTCCAAGTCCGTTTTTATCTTGTCTATTTGCAGGGCTCCATCACTTCGGACGATGATTTCCCCGTGTCTTGTGCTGAGGAAGAGTCCTGGCTCGCATCTCGCGAGGAGGGAGAGCTTCTCCAGGAGAGTCTCGTACTGCTCCGGGGCGGGGATGAGGATGTCCGTGAAAAGGGGGGAGAAATTCCTCCATTTCAGGGCGCGTAGGAAGGCTTTTGCCTCCTCTGTGGGGTGGGAGGCAACAATTCCGCGCTTCCTGCAGGGGAGTCCGGCAATTCCCACGAGTCCCGTGGCTTTTTGGACTCGGTCGAGGCTCTCCGTGAAGTAGAGGAGGCTCTGGACGGAGGCAGGTTCTGTGTTTTCTCCCTCCATAAGGAAAACGGACTCCCCAACGGAAATGTGCCTGTTCTGGAGGGTTCTTGCAATTGCGACTATTTCCCCGTTGAGGACGATGTTAGCGCATATAACGGCAATTACGCCCTCTGAATTTTCTGCTGAAAAATTTATGTTTTCTGCTCCAAGGGAGGAAATGCCGTTATAAAGTGCCCTGAAAAACCCGAAAGCATGGGACATAACGTCTTTCGCGTGGATATTTCCCCTTCCTCCGGGCCTGCCTGCAGATCCCACACGCTCTGCGAGCTGCAGGAGCTCCTCCCTCTGGAGCCTGTACACGCTTTGAGCGAGTCTAACGGCTTTTTTCAGGGTCAATTTTACGCTTCCTTCAGGCTTATTCAGGGCCCTGGAGGGGTCTGAGTCCCTGGAAAGAGCCCAGTTCTCGCGGGCACTCCCAATAATCACATTCCCGCACTCCCAGCTGACCTCCTCCCCAGAACAGTCCTCCCCCACCCCCAGGAGAATCTCCTGAATTCTGTGCTCAATTTCCCCCGTTTCCACCCCGAGCCTGAAAAGAGCGTCTATTTTGTTCACGAGCAGGAGAATCCGGCACTTGTTCTCGCTAAGTCCCCGGGTGAGCTGCTTCAGCCTTTCAGTGACCCCCTTCGTGGCATCGACAATCACGAGGGAGACGTCCGAGAGAATGAACGTGGACTCCGTGAGGGACTTAAACTCCAAGTGCCCGGGAGTGTCTAAAAACGTTATTTTTTTGCCCTGAAAAAAAACACTCACAGGAGAAAGCTTCATCGTCATTCCCCTCTCCAGCTCGTCTCTCCGGGAGTCCAGGAGTCTGGCTTCTCCGGCCATGCTGCGAGATATTACCCCGAGATGCTCTAAGACGTTGTCCATTACCGTGGTTTTCCCGTGGTTTACGTGCGCTATAAGATTCACTACGTACTCCCGCGGACTTTCTCTTTCTTTTTTCTCCCTCTCTTCCTGCATGGCGTAAAAAAACTCTCTTTATTTAAGAATCTCGTGGACGGTTGAAATCGTGTTTTTTACGATGTTTACGAAGCAGTCTCTCCTATACTCTGAACTCTTCGCCTCTATCTCCACCTCAAATGTCGTTTTTAGGTGCTCCCCATTCTTCCCGGTGCGGACTTCTGTTGCATCAATGACGAAGGAGGAGCCGGAGTACGTGCTTCTGTTCTTCTCCCGGGTGCTGCACATCGCCTGTACCCCGAGAGTGTCTTTCTGCACGATTTCCTCGCTAACTCCCACGCGGATGTCGTACTTGTTCTCCGGGCAGAAAATGTCCACGGAGAAAAGCTTTTTCTTCTTTACGATCGTGGGCTCTCGCGTAACAGACTGCCCGTTTACGGACTTTATCTCAGATCTCCGCATTCCCTTTATCAGCGTATCCTGCATCAGGACAGTCTCTCGCGTCTTAAACTCCCGCAGGAAGTGCTCCTGCATCTGCTTGAAATGGGCCTCGTCCACGGAGGCATCGAACCAGAGAGTATCTGCCCTCTCAATAACGCACGGATGCATGGTTTTTATGCTTAGCCGAGACTGCGTTGATTTCTCCATGATAAGTCCCAGGCGTATCTCGACTTCTGTCGTGGGGGAGAGCTCGGAGGGAAGAGCCTTCTCCAGGGCTTCTTTTATGTGGGGGTTTCTGCTGTTTTCTTCCTCGAGGTTCATAAAAATAAAAGTTGAGCTGAATTTATGCTTTACGCTGCACTTATACGGGCTTACTCCGGGCGAGGGTCTAGCTGCTCAGAGATATTAATTCAGGCTATTCAGGTGCTACTTAGATAATATACTGTTCAGATTTTAATTTCGGGTTAGAGATATTTATTCAGGTACTATTTAGATAGTATACTGGTCGGGTTAGAGATATTTATTCAGGTACTACTTAGATAGTATACTGGTCGGGTTATTATTCGGGTTAGAGATATCTATTCAGGTACTACTTAGATAGTATGCTATTTCTCTACTGTATTATTCCGGTTAGAGATATTTATTCAGGTACTACTTAGATAGTATGCTCTTTCTCTACTGTATTATTCGGGTACTACTTAGATAGTACGCTATTTCTCTACTGTAGTGTTTGGGCTATTACGTCTTTTCTCTGCTATTCCTGCCTTTATTTAGATGGGGTTGGGTGTAATCGTGGAAGTGCTAGTGAATTCACGGCCTTTATTTTTATTGGAGTGCTTAGATAGACAGAATAAAACCTGATTTACTCGGGTTATTCGAACTAAGCAACAACCAATTACGAGCAACTGCTTTCCCATAGAGCAGATAGTATGCTCTTTCTCTACTGTACCCGGGCTATTATTCAGTCTCTGCTGTATCTATTGATCTATTTTCCATGCTGTTCTGGTTATTATTCGGGGGTTCAGGTAATTTATTCAGGCACTTTCAGGAGAGCCCTCAGAAGGCGCACGACGTCTTTCGGGTCCCCAGGACTCCCCAGAATCTCCTTGACTCGGTGCAGGATGGACCCGTGCGAGAAAGGAGCTTTCCTGTCGTGCTTTATCCTGTAGTCCGCGGAGAATACCTCCTTCTGTATGAACTTTGCGACTTTCTCCTTCAGCTCGCAGGTCATCTCCGGAAGGACCTGGAAGAGCCGAGACTTCTCAAACTCCCCGGAAAGCATCAGGAAAGTTCCCAAAGTGCGTGTATACAGTGCCGTATTCTCCGGGCTAAAAGCCTCGAGAGGAGCGACAAAAGAGAACCCCGCGCGAAGGGAGAGCTGCATAAGCTCCGGAGTGTGGCAGAGAGGAGCCGGAGAGGGAAGTGCTTCGAGAAGGTCCCGAACTCTGGAGGAACTCCCCGGGAAAGCAGCCAAAATACCGTTTAAAATGCAAAGACACAAATAGTCCTCTTCAACCGATCCCTTAAAGAGAAAGGGCTCAACTGCCTCCAGAGCAGAACCTGAATCTACCCGTCCCGTTCTCACTAGAGCTAAAAGCGTCTTCAGAAGGAGAGTCCTCACAAGGGAGTTTTCCTGCCCAGAAGAAGCCTCCAAGTAGAGAAGGACCTTCTGGGGGTCGGAAATCTCCGGAATTGCAGCCCAAACGGCAAGAAGCATCGGGAGAATCTTCTTTACGCCGTGCTTTCTCGATGTTTCCTCCGCTGTGAGGACTCTCATAATCGGAGGAACCAGATCCCGGCTTTCGCGTATGTTGGCGAGTACCTCCCGCAGGAGAAGGGGATTGTTTTTCACGCACTCCAGGACGTTCAGGCACCGAGTAATCCCGTTAATCGAGACAAAAGGGCTGTTTTTTGTGCAGCGCATGGAAAATAAAATTCGCAAATATTTATGCTCCCAGAGACGGAGGAGAGTCCGAAAAATACCCGAAAATTAGAAAAGTCTCTCCTTTCGCGTGTGTGCTGATCTCTCTCCGCCCTGCAAAATCCCCCCTTTCCCCGCATTCCCAGCCTGTTTTAGAGGGGTTTTAGCTGCCTCTTTACTATCCGACTATTCGGGGTTTAACTTTAAAATTGCACGCAAATAATTCGGGATAGTCTGAATTGGCTTGCAGGTGGGCCAACAAGGAGATGCTATTCAATAGATCGAACTAATTCAACTAAGGAGATGCCCAGGAGAGAATAGGGGATAGGCTGTAATAGAGGAAGTACAGTGAAATTAATCGTCTTTATTATTGCTCTGCTTAAACAGAATAAACCCGGATTCTCAGGCGTAAACTGGAGCCTTTCTTATTTGTTTTCAGGAAATAGCCAATTAGTGCAGCCTTCCCAATTTCTTTTTTTTTTTATTTTGCAAATTTTTCAAAGAGCCAAAAAGCGCTGTTTCGTGCTGGAAGCATTTATAGCATAGGAAATTAAAAATATATCCAAATAGTTAAAAAACAGCATAAAAAGTAGCTGGGCTTTCACATATAGCCGAATATACAGACAAAGTCTATCTATCCGAATACTCTGCAGTTTCACTGCACTTTTTCTCTATGCGAAAGCACAGCTGCGAGTCGCAATCAGTTATTGCCCAGAAGCCCAACAAGAAAGGTTTCATGGAGAATTCGGAATAACTGCCTAAATTCTATATTCTCCACGGAGACCAATAATCGTACTGAGAATTTCGGGTTATTCGGGAAAAAGCAGAATCCCATGTATAAAGCACTGCAATAAGCAATAAAGGGTGAATTTCACTGTCCTTCCCGCATTACAACTTCCACCTTTCTAGGTCTCAGAACAGTTTCCAAGCACAGACTCTTTTCTGCTGGGGTATCCGGGCATCCAAACGGAACAATTCAGGCTCACTCCTGCATTTATTTCTAACTCGCGCACTTCCCCTGGAACTCCTTCATCTCCTGCAGGAAGGCTCTCCACTCGCTGATCTTTTCCTCGTTCTCCCGCATGAACTGGCGCCTGGCCTCTCTCCTTCTGAGGACGTCTTCTGCCTTGTACTTCTGGACTTCCTCCTCTCCGAGAGTTGCTTCTTCCGTGGGCTTTATGACCGTTCTCCAGAAGAATCCGCACTCCTTCTTCACATTCGAGGCGAAAACCTCCTTCCCGCAGATGTCGAGGACTCTCACTTGCTCCCCGCAGAGAACTGCGATGTACAGCCCAAAAGGCGAAACGAGGATCTTCCCTGCCCCGCCCTCCGGGATTCTATTGATGACTTCTCCGTCTCTCCCGACGATGGAAATTGCCTCCATCTCCGATCCCAGGGCTGTTATATCCCCTGCTACCACGGTTGAAGCAGGTTCTCGCAGGAGGGCTCCCTCCAGAAGTCTATTCTGCACTCTCCTGTAGACTTTCGTGCCTCCCTGCAGCTGAACCACGACGGAATACCTGCTCGGGTGGACTCCGCGGACGTTTTCTCCGAGGGCCTTCGAGATCACGCGGACTCCGTCGACATTCCATATATCTATGAAGTGCGAGGGCTTCCCAGAGACTGTTCTCACGTTGCAAATTGCGACTTCTCCCTCTGAAAATGAAACCGTACACTTTTCTATATTTGAGAAGACTTTTCTGCGAATAACCTGTCCCGAGTCCAGGGAGTGCAGGATGAGTTCTGTGCTGAAGTTGCTTGTTTTTATCACAAAAAAGACGTTATCATACGGGGACATAAATCCCTCGATCTTTCTTCCCGGACTCTTCTCTGCGTACTCTGGGAATACTACGTCTTCCTCCCCGTGTAAAGCCCGGACAGAAACTGCTGATCCGCCCTCCTCGGAGACTGCGAAGTGCGTGAGGCCCTTGGAGATGCTGAGGCTGTGCTTTCTGCTGATCCGGATCGTCTTTACGTGCTTTTTCCTATATATACTCTCTATGCTCCACTCTATTTCCTCGCTATTTACAGCGCATCCCACAACAATATGCTCTCCCAGGACGTAGTACGAAACTATCCCGTCGAGGGAGAATCCGTCGATGAGGTCGAGGTTTCCCCCGTATACGAACAGGTTCTTCTGCTTCTGTGCGAGGATCAGGTCGTCCCAAACGGAGATCTCCATCTCTTTCAGGGCCTTAGACCGGAGAACCTGGCAGGGAAACATCTTCGAGAGCTGGTAGCACGAGAGCGTGTCTTCGTTGTATACTACGAACTGCTCCCCCAGGGCTTCAGACCTCCACAATTTAACGTCTTTTTCTCCTATGATCTTCTTAACGGCAGGTTTAAAGAGCTGCGGCCTGCTGAGAGAAGCCTTCCCAACGGAGTACATCGCTAAATACCGCGAGAGAGAGAGTGCCTGTATCTGACACCCTGACACGTGGAGAGTATCCAGCCGCTTCACAAGCTCAGAGACGAGTTTTGCACTCTCGCACCAGCAAAGTGCAACAGTATCTTGTATCAGAGTGGTTTCTTCGGTAAAGTAGTTTCCCTTCGCGAGGGCATTCAATTGCTCGAATTGCAGGGTTTTTCCTTCGTCTTTGCTAAGCCCAAGAACCACCAGGGTGCTGTTGCTTTGTGCCGTAGTCAAGCCCATTTCTAAAATATTTTATTTTGCGAAAATATTTAGATGCCTTCTCTTGCAAGTGCTGGAAAGTGTCCGGGATACGAAGAGCTTATTGGAGCAAGCAGAAAAAACTCTGCAGAAAACTATGCTTTCCACGGGACGAAATTAGACATTTCAAAGGAGATTTTTGGAAATTCCATTTTTACCGTCTCGAATACGGAGAGAGGCCTCAGCGTGAACTACTCCGTGGGGGGAATCTCGCGGGTTTTCTCTGCGTCGGTGTTTAGCGACGGATCTGTCCTGGGGAAGATCTCCCCTGCTCCCGGGCACTCTGGAATGGCTGTTTCCTGCATGCGCGGGCCAGAGACGCAGTATTTCGACGTGGGACTGGAAAAGGCCCTGAAAAGAGCTGCTTTCTCCGTGAAAGCAGTTAATCCGAGTGTGGAAATTCCGAGCCTGGAAATTCCTGGGGGAAAACTTTCCGCGTGTTTTCAGCACCTTCGGAGCAGTCACTCCTCCCTCCGCGGGACTTTGCAAAAATTTTCAGGGGAAATCTCCCGGGCGATCTCAGAGATCCCTTCAGGTTCTGGGGGGTTACGGAGTTGCATGAAGGAAGGAGCTTTCAGGGCGTGCAGGCTCTTCCGGGGCGGAGTCTTTTCGGCGACTTCCGTCCTGGAGGTGGCTCCCTCCCTCCATCTGGGCGTGGAAACGGTCTTTTCCCTCGCGAGAAAAGAGCCCGGGAAAGAGACGAGCGGAGAAGAAACGGGACTCCTGCGGGGGTTTTCCGCGTATGCAAGAGAAGCTGCAGCCACGTGCATCGTGAGCAAGGCCTTTGAGACGTGGCGCCTTCTGGGGATATATCATACCTCCGGGAATGCGGGCTTTTTCGCGGAGAAGAGGCTGGATGAGGCAGTTTCCCTGCACAGTGAACTCTCCGTTGACTGGAGGAAGGTCCTGAAGACGGGGCCTTTCTGGGAGTCCGTGGGTTTTGCCGTTGGAACGGTTATTCGAGGACCTGGCAGTACTACTCACGTGACTGCAGGGTCTAACGGGGTAGTAACAGCTTCTTCTGATATTCCCGTGGGAGATGGTGCTGTCCTGAACCTGAGCACGCAAGTCTCCACGGGTTCGCCCCTCCTCGGGATTGGGTTCACCTTCACGAGCTGACAGGAATAACCCGAATAACATTGTAATAAGATGGTAGTATCGTGTTTAGATTGTTTATGGTTATAATATTCTATTGTTATAACAATATGCTGTTATAATATTCTGTTGTTATAATAATAATAATGCTATTCTAAAAATATGCTGTTATAATAATAATGCTATTCTAAAAATAAAATACTGTAACAACAATAAAATTCTGTAACAATAATAAAATATTTATTCTGCTGTTATTATTCTGTTATAATAATAAAATACTGTAACAACAATAAAATATTTATTCTGCTGTTATTCTGCTGTTATTATTCTGCTGTTATTGTGGTAAATTATTGGAATTCCCACAAGATCGGAGAAGGCAAGATCATGATGGACGTGTGTATGTGGAAGCCAAAGGATCGCCCAAAGCGTAAGTGTGAGCAATTTCTATTCAGATGCAAAGAGATTCCGAGCATAACTAAGCGCAAGTTGTAATACTGGAAGTGCTAGTGAAATTTGCAGCCTTTATCCTTTTTCGACCTCCTTAAATACTTGTGGTCTCTGTACTTCCCTTGATTTCTCACTTCTGGAGTCCCTTCCTTATTGGTCTTCTAAAAAATAAATAATTTCGAGTAAGTATGCTTTCAGCATATAACTCACTGCATTTCCATTTACCCCTGCCCCTGCAGAAGAAAAGCTGAAAAAACTACAGATATATAAATTAAAAAAGATTTCATCAGAAAAAATACAAATGGAGAAAAAGAAGCAGACAAGTCTAAAAATCGGCACTGACTTTGTGCTATCAGAGCACGAGAACCTCATTCTTAACGAAAAGAAAGAACTGATTCCCATAAAAGAGGACCACGAGTATTTTGCTCTTTACAAAATACTAGCAAGAAATGTATGGTTGAATCTCTCGAATATCCCGAATATAAAATCAATTCTGTGTAGTGACTTAAATATCATAATAACGATGAAAACAATAGAATATATATTGCAAAATCAAGGAAAGAACATCATTGAGTTCAGAGATGCCGTTTTCGGGCGCTCTGCCTCTGGAGAACAACTCTCCGGGAAAGAGGCAAAGAAGAAGTGCGCTGAGCTGAGTGAAGTTATCCGAAGAAATCTGACAGAAGACCAAATAGACGGAGAACCCACGGCAAAGGCCATTATGGAAGCAGAAACTGCAATACTTGTCCAAGACATGAAGGAGGCCGTTAAAAACAAAGCTCACGCGTTTGATTTGATTGCCTACATACAAGGGTGCTTGAACAGTGAATTGAGATGTTCCATGCTCTTGCTGCTAAGCGAGAAATACTATCCAGCGTATCTCCTGCAGGATCTCTGCAGGGAGTACGAAGAGAAACATTCAGTTAAAGAGTCCGATGACATATACTCGCTGGAACAGTTATACAGTATTAACCCGAATGACCCGAACAAAATCTTCCTGGATATGGTACTGGATGAAGTACTGAGTACACTAGGACCAAGCATTCTTGATGTGAATATGCTCTTCACAAGTCGTTATAAGCTGAAGTTGCGTTTCGTGTCACCAGATCATTTGAAGCTGTTCAGAAGCATCAACTACCACAGAGAAGCGATCCTCGCTGAGCAAAGATGGTTCTTCCAGATGTTTCGATTCGGCAGAAAAGAGACTGCTCCTAAAAGCAGTAGCCGCATATTAGATCGAATTGTCAATAGATATAAGGCTGCCCCCAGCAGAGTAAAGATCTTTAGAAGGTCAGTGAATCAGACAATTCTTGAGATATTCCTGTGCAAAGACAAAGCAGCAGAAAAGGAAAAACTTTGCAGTGAGGAAAGAGCACTCGATAAAGAAATAGAAGAAGTCCAGGCTAAGCTGAAAGAGTCAAACACCACAGAACAGGCCGGGGAGTTGGAAGTGCAGATTGAATCCTGCAATGCAAGAAAGGCCGAAATATCCGAGGCTTTAGACGCTCTCAACAGCTACGAAAGGCTGGCTCCTGCTCAGAAGGAGGTCATAAAGAGGAGGCTGGTGGGGGATATGGAAAGACTCGATGTTAAATTTAGAGATGCCGATGCTCTCAACAACTTCATGCCGGCCCATGAGAAGGCAGAGAATGAGCAGGAAGTTGCACCAGTTGATGATAAAGTTCCAGAAGAAAATACTCCTTCTGCTATGCCAGTTGATGATAAAGTGCCAGAAGATCATGCACTTGACTTCGGAGCCAACGGTTCTGTGGAATTACCGGTAGATACGAAAGTGAATGCCGGAGAAATACCTGCAAACCCAGAGAGTATAGACCAAAGTTTCTTATTCAAGAATAACTTGCAAGTTATTATGGGTCTCTTTTTCGGGTTACTCGTGGTTATATCTTTTGTGCTCGTGTACACTGAAATGGGAAACCAAATATGTTTTTGGCGAAGGCATAGTTTCTCGTAGTTGTATACGGGAAGTGCTAAGTGAAACATTTGTCCTTTATTCATGCCGGCCTGCTGTCTTAGGAGAAGCTTGCCTTCAGCACAGAACAATCCATACTGTTTAATTCGAGTATAGTTTTTTAAAATAAAGTGACAGATGCACAAGAGACTCAAACAAAATTCCGTTCTTTTTTGTCTGACAGGCTGATTCTTGAAAAAGTCTGATGCGCCTTGTGTGTATAAGCTATCCCAGCACCGCCTCTTCATGCTTTGAAAGACTGTCCAGCGGAGGGCTCCCGAATAATAACCCGAGGCAAGGCGATTTACGACAGTTATTATTCTGTTATAATATTATTCTGTTATAATAATAAAATATTTATCTGGGTTATTATACTGTTATAATATTGTTGGTATAATATTATTCTGTAACAACAATAAAATATTTATCTGGGTTATTATTCTGTTATAATATTATTCTGTTATAACAATAAAATATTTATCTGCTATTATTATTCTGTTATTATATTGTTGGTATAATAATAAAAATAATAAAATACTATAATAATATTATTTATCTGCTGTTATTTATCTGCTGCTGTTATTCTGCTGGTATAATAATAATAATAAAAAGTTATTATTACAGTATTTTATTATTATATAATTATACTAGCATAAACAATAATACTTCCTGTATTACAACTTATACTAATACTATCTGTTGAAATTGTCTGTTGAAATTATAGTTCTATACTAATACTATCTGTTGCATCACTTATGTATCCACCTGCTGGAATATTACTGAATAGTCTGAACTTCCTGTGTTTGTGCTGAATAAGCCCATATAAAGAGAAATGCCTTGGGTAAAATTTTTATGCACGGAGAAACCATTCAAGTATTTGCCTTGGGGATGATCTTCTATCACGGGGCACTTAGCGGGTCAAGCGAAAAAGCCTCGAAAGTAGCGAGTGTTATTTCGCTTGTGATGTTTATGCATAAAGCATGCTGCAATATGCACATGAAGAAATTTATAGAGAGCATTCCCTTCAGTACAAGCGCAATGAACGGGTCTTTTTTGGTCATAGGAGTCCTCACGGTGATAGAGTCTGTTATCGTCCATTTACTTCGGAGGTTTCTTCCGGGAGTGCTTTTCTACGGGCTGGAGCGAGTGGGGGGACTCTTCATCTTTCTTTCTTTGGTCCTGATCTTTTCCTCCCTCTGGATACTCTCCAAGAACGACATTAAAATGTGCGTATACATCGACCAGGGAATATACGCGTATATAAGGCATCCTTACTATCTGGGACTGGGGTTTCTGTACGTGGGAATATGCCTGAGTATGGGAAATGTCCTTTCCATCATTATTGCTGCAGTTACGCTTAGCGAGAAGGTTCTGGACGTGATAAAAAACGAGGAGATGCTTCTCATTGAGAGGCACAAGAGCTATGCGAAATATCGGGAGAGAGTCCCCAGCGGAATCCCCGGGTGTCTCTCGCAGGGAGAGAACTCCCTCGAGAGCTTTGACACGACTTCTAGCGCTCTCATGTGAATTCTCAGGGAAAACCTGAAACTGTCGCAGGAGAGACTCTGGAGAGCTTTTAAAGCCCCCGGAAGTATCTGAGGTTATTCAGGTTATCACACGACCATTCCCCGTAGAGGGACTCCAGAAGGATAGATTCTGGCTTTGCACGAGAAGAGATATATTTAGAGATGCTATCATTATCGTATTCAGGCAAAACATATTTTTGTCTATATTAAAATATTCGGGTTATTCGGGGCAAAAATGCTGTCTATATTAAAATAATTTTTCCACTAAAATTTGCCATGAACTGCATCAGAAAAGACTCTTTTGAAATATCCAGAGTATCCAGAATATCCCGCACTTTCCTTGTGCTTAGCCTGTTTATTACATGGGCTTGGGCTGGGAAAGCTGATTCTTCGGGCGTAGAGAGCACGGAGTTATACAAAAAAATCAGATCACTCGCAGATAAAATAGACGGGTTTATAGACGAGCTCATCCCGAATAACCCAGAGAAAGCACCTATCACCCGAGATGAATTTATGAAAAAGTTGAGAGAGAACGATCTACAGATCATCCACAATACGAATCTCAGCTGTGTTTTTGTATACAGCGGACCTCTCCTAGACTACGCAAAAATCCCCGGAATGAAGGAGGCAGTCGACGATAAAGTCCAGAGGAAGCTCATCCTGAAAAAAGCTGCAAGCTTCCGGGAGGTAAACATGCAGGAGGAGAAACTCTGCAAAATGATGGACCACCCAAACACAGTGCGAACATTCTTCTCCTTCTCGATAGTTCCGGAGGACTACGAAAAAACAGGATTTTCCATGGTCTGGCTTCTCCAGGAGTATCTGGAGGTTTCTCTCCCCGTACTCCCGAATAACCCGATCTTGAATAAACTCGTTGAGATCGACATCCGGACAATTGCTCGGGATGTTGCACGGGGAATAGAGTACCTCCACAGCAAGAAGATCGTACATCTCGACATAAAGGCGCAGAATGTCGCAGGATCTTACTCCAAGCGCGAGGGGAGAATCGTATATAAGCTCATAGACTTTGGCTTCTCCCGGGAAATAGAACCCGGTCAAACTTCCGTCTTCCTGGAGGGAATGAATATTGGAACTCCGCCTTTTGTCTCCCCGGAGATTGCGTTGGAGTCGGTCCACGGGTACGCTGCTGATATCTGGTGCTTTGGGTTTATGATGATCGTTTTGAGTAGAATCGCCCTGCCAGAAGATAATGCGTGGATCTGCCTGATTAATGATCTCTCGAATAACCCGAACCTTGGGAGGAAAGTGCCTATGGCGAACGTATTCGCCCAGTTCCTGCGCGGGAGTGTGGAGTTGGTCCTTCCCCTGAGAACTCCCGTTGAACTTGCGAGTTTCATTCGGGGGTGCATGCAGAGGGACGGAGAGAGACGGATGACGATTCAGGAGGTCCTGAAGCACCCGTATCTCTCCAGGTACGTTATCTCCGGAGATCCAAACCCTGAAAACCACAGAATGTACGCAGTATAGAATGTACGCAGTATAGAGAAGATCTAGAAGCATAACAGCGAATATCATAATATCACAATATCACAATAAACAGAATCACACCGTAATAGTAATTACACAATAGATGTTATGCTAATAATTCTACTATTCTATCCCATAATAGTTCTTCTATTACACAATACTATAGTTATCTCATAAATATTTATTCTACTATTTTATTCTCTCATAATAATTCTTCTATTTTATTCTATAATTCTTCTATTTTATTCTATAATTCTACTATTTTATTCTATAATAATTCTATCCCCATAATAATTCTACTATTACACAATACTATATTTCTTCTGTTTTATTCTATAATATTTCTCTCATGAATATTTATCCCATAGAAATATTTATACTATCCCATATATTTATCCCATAGCAATATTTACTCTATCCCATAGCAATAATTCTTCTATAACCCGAATTCTATTCTATGTTATTTCTTCTATTCTATAACCCATATGATCCATATAATCCATATAATCTTATATTCTTCTCTTATGAGGGAGGAATGTGCTGATTATATGGATGACGTCTTACTCTGCACTTTGTTTTATCTTTCATTGGGCAGAACGAGTAAACAATTGAAGACTGCGTCTCAGAGTGTTTTTCGCTTATACGGAGGCCTCTGTTTTGCTTTATGTTGCATATACGCGCCTGCACGACAAGGAAAGTCCTTCTCTCCCTTTTTTTCGCCTCTCTTCAAGCCACATCTGCACTCTCCCAGCCTGAAAGCACCCCAAGAAAGAGCATCGCAGAGGCTGAGAAGGCACTCGCAGATACTGCTGTCTTCATCGTATTCACAGCTCCTGTCTCGTGGGAAGCCCTCGTATTTCAGACGTACGTCCAAAAAAGAACTGCAAGCGAAGCCTTTTCCCTCAGCAGAGAAGCCATCTTCGAGAATATTGCAGCCCTGCAGAAGATCTTGAAGGACCCGGACTTTTTCACCGTCGGATTGAAAGCCCTTCTCACGAAGTACGAAAGAACCTACATCCGAGGACACCCCAGCAGAAACAAGCTCTTCGAGGAAGACGTTGAAACTCCGCAAGTCGATCGCATGCAAAGAAAAAGCATAACTGAAAATTTGCAAAAACTTACGGGTTTATCCCAGACGGAAGCAGCTCTCCTAAGGGAAGATATAGCGCAGATTATGAAGGAAGCCCGGAAACAGCCAGATTCCCCCGTGTGGACTACGTATAAGAGCGTGATAGAGAAGGCCCTTCTAGCGATGAAGAGCAATGCCTCCGTGAAAAACAGCATGGAAATCAGCACGGGAGAATTCAGCAGAACTGCCACGCAATTGATCCTGAAGAAGCCGATTTCCCAGGGGAAGTTCAACCTGGAGAGAGCCCGATTTAACCTGGGGGGAGCCGTATACAGTCCGAGCCTGATGCTGGAGATAGTTGCGAAGTTGCAGGACGAGGATAAAAGCAGGTTTGTTGATGGCCTTGTAGACTCTCTCCTCCAGCCCCTTGAAGTCCTACGGGGGAATCTCTCGGGAAGTTCTCCCTCGCAGGTGAAGGAGGAGATTATCCGGTACATGCAGGCAGTGAGTGGGACTCTCTCCGTGTATCCCCAGAAGAAGGAGATTGCAGAGTCTCAGGCGATTCGGTCGGAGTCCATCTGCAGGCGGATAAAGAACTTGCTCGATAAGAAGCCAGTCTCCCAGCGGATAGACGAGATACAGATAGGGAATACGAAGAGAATGGCTTCTGTCCTGCAGGAGGCAAGTCCCGATCTCTTCAAGGAGTTCCTTCAGGTGGACCGCAGAATATCCGAGAAGTACAAGGCATACATCAAGACGGGGGGAGGAGACGAGAAAGTCCGGAAGGAGATTGAAGCTCTTCTGGGGGTTCTCTAGGCCTGAATCCTCCTATTCCCTGCCCAGTGAAATAAAGCATAAACTATTAAGTGTTTAAGTGTTATACGGGTGATATAGTGAATATTCCTAGTAAGTATTTTAATAGTTGAATAAGCTAGTAAGATAATACAGTAAGTATTCCTAGTAGATAATATAGTGGATATTCCTACTGCATACTATGTTGAATATTCCTACTGCATACTATATTGAATATTCCATCACAAACTAGTAAGTATTTTAATACTTTGTGGGCAATATACTGATTATTTAAATATTATTAAGAAAAATAGTAATTGCTTGAATATTTAATTCGGGGTTATTATTTGAATAGTTAAATATACTAATTGAATATTCCTAGTAGGATATAGTAATTAAATATTCCTACTGCATACTATGTTGAATATTCCTAGTAGGGTATAGTAATTGACTATGAGCAAGTCCTTCTGGGATGTGCAGGGCAGAACAATAAATAAGCCTTTATTTCCGTGTCTCTGGACGGGCTCTTAACTCTTGCAGTGTCCCTGGGAGGACTCTGGATTCTTCGGGACTTTCTTCTTTCCCTTTTTGAAGGCGTCATCTTTCGGGGGATTTCTCCCCTTTCCGCCCTCAGAAGGTCTCTCTTCCCGGGGATTTCCCCTATTTTTCCTCTTTTCAGGGGCAGACTCTACTGCAGGCATTTCCTTTGGCTCCTCCCTTCTCGGACGATCTTCTGCTCTGTAGTGCCTGTTCTTGTACTGGGATCCTCCACCCGCACTTTTCCAGCAGTCATTCTCCCTGTGCCCGCTCTTCTTGCAGATTCTGCACGTATTTTCCGGGCAATTCGTTTTCACATGCCCTGTCTGGTTGCATATGAAGCACGTACTGGGCTTTCTAGGGCAGTCTCTTGATATGTGCCCTGATCTATTGCATTTATAGCAGATAGTCGAGCTCTGGAAGCACCGGTTCGTTTCTATCGGATCCAGCTTCTTCAAGCTCAGGGGCTTGTGGCTTTTCGTGCTCCCAAAGTGGACAAGTGCGTATATATCGTCCTCTAGATCGCTGGGCATGGACTCATCCGATTCTAGCTCGCATATTTCCTGGAGAAGGGCAGAGTCTGCAACTTCCTCTAAGTTCAGAACTGCTTCGTGGGAAAACATAAGCATAGAATTTTTTTGCTGGGAAAATATATGCACTCGCCTAAGCTCTTCGAGGATGTTTTCGCAGGATGGGCTCCGATGGGGGATATAATCAGCGAAGGATTGAGCGAGAAAGACCTTCTTGTGATATGCAGTGCAATTTCAGAGACTCTTTCCGAGCACGGTATAATCTCCCGGGGTGATTCCATAACCGACGACTTGGAGGACTTTCTGTACGATGTTCTCGAGGAATTCGGGGTCTCCGTGGCCGAGGACATTCTGGGGGAGCTTCTCCAAAAGATCCTGCACGCTCACAATGGCGCTGTCCGTGGAAGAAGCACATAATAGTAGGTTTCATATACCCTAAAGCCTTCATAAAAGAGAAAGAATCTTTTAACTCTTTTAATTCAGGAATCATTTAACTAAAGAATCTTTTAACTCATTTATATAGGAATATTTTAACTAAATAATCATTTAACTCTTTTATATAGGAATATTTTAACTCTTTTATAAAGGAATGTTTTAATTAAAGAATCTTTTAACTCTTTTATAAAGGAGAATCTTTTAACTCATTTATAGGAATATTTTAATTAGAAACAATCCTTCAGTTAAGGAGAATCATTTAACTCATTTAATTCAGGAATCTTTTATATAGGACTCTTTTAACTCTTTTAACTAAAGAATCTTTGCATCTACTCCACTGCAAGGATGAGGAACTATCAGACAATAAATAGCTCGTTAAAATACGAATAACTCGTGGTAAGCTTAAGTACTTTATTCTCTGCAAATGCGGTTCTACCTGGTTTTACGCTGTCTTGTCTCCGTGCAGAAGGAAATTCCCTCCTTCACGAGTCTCTGCACGATCTGGGTCCCAACAAACGCTGCTCCCGGCGTGTACACTCCCCCCTTTCTGGGTTCTGTCCGCAAACCCTCCAAAATCGTCTCAGCAGACGCTAAAAGAGCGATCGGAGTCGTAACATACCCTGGATCCGGCCCAGAAACAACGGTTTTATACGTCACCTCCTCTCCTTCTGCGTTCTTTCCTTCTGCGAGTATCTGCGTCCTAAACTCAGAAGATGCGATTTCTTCCTGAGTCGGTCCTTCACTCCGAACACGCCCAAACGTAAGCACATCAACGCACTCGTAAGCTGCCTCCCTCAAGCGAGACGGGAGCAAATAGACAGCCCCAATAACAAGCGCCAAAAAAAGCACCCCCAAAACGTCAAGAGCCGAGAAAAAAGAGATATAGCAGTGACATATAGGATATGCACTCCCCAGGAGAACTCTCGTCCTTCTTACTACGAAAGAGTCCGACCCAGGGAACAATACTGCGTACATCCCCACCTGCGGAGAAAAAAAAGGGAATTTTCTGACGGATTTTTTTTTCTTTTTTTTTTCTTCCTCTGCAATTTTTTTCTCCGGGAGTTTTTTCTTCCTCCGCCCTGCCCTGGCACTCTCCAGGCTGCAGATGATCGTTTTAAACGTCCCCAGGTTTATCCTGGCTCCTTTCAGGTGCATATAGGACTCTGCTGAGTCTACAATTCCCCCGTTTCTCTCTGCCTCCTGCACTGTATGGACAATTCCTATGTCGATGGGGAGGGAGTCGAACCCGCACGCGTGGACTACGATACTCCCTGCCTCCTGCGCTTTCTCCTGGAACAGGTCGATGCTATCCTGGATAAATCCGGGCTCTCCTGAGCAGTCGATGTAGTTTGAGCGTGCCTGTATCGTGGCTTCTATCACAGAAAGTCCTGTTTTTGCAAAGGGTCCGATGCAGTTGATGATTACGCTGTATCCTTCACATATTCTTGCGAGTGCTTTTATGCTGTCGACTCCTGTGATGTGCTTTTCCACGCGGGAGAGGGCTTTTGCGTTTCTGCTTTTCACGGAAACCTCCTCAAAGACTCGGGAAAGCTTCTCCTCGCTCCTGCAGGTTACGCCGAGGGTCATTTCAGGCCTTTTCTCGACGATGTATTCGAGCAGCTTCTGTGCTGTGAATCCGTTTACCCCGCAGATCAGGACGTCTTTTCTTTCTTCGCTCTTTCGCATTCTCAGAAGGAATGAATTAATATTAATATTAATATCATGGAAGACATTAAATGTAACACCCGCAGGAAAGGGGAAAGAGCCCAGTATCCGGAAGTGCAGTGTTCCCGTGCGGGTGCCAGGGGATACGCTGTAGGAACTTCCCCTTTCCCGCACTCCCACGCGGATTCTCCAAAGCATCTGAACCCACTGGGAAATAGCCCGAATACCCGTGAATTCACTCAAGACTAGCTAAATATTCACTCAAGAGTAGCTAAAGAGTAACTTAATTAGCTAAATATTCACTCAAGAGTAGCTAAAGAGTAACTTAATTAGCTAAATATTCACTCAAGAGTAGCTAAAGAGTAGCCAAGAATAACTAAATATTCACTCAAGACTAGCTAAATATTCACTCAAAGTTGGCTAAAAACTAACTTAATTAGCTAAATATTCACTAAAGAGTAGCTATGACTAACATAATTACCTATGAACAACTAAATATTCACTAAATATTCACTAAGAATTAGCTATGAACAACTAAATATTCACTCAAGATTAGCTAAATATTCACTAAAGACTAGCTTAATTAGCTAAATATTCACTAAAGACTAACTTAATTACCTATGAACAACTAAATATTCACTTGAAACTAACTTAATTACCTATGAACAACTAAATATTCACTTGAAACTAGCTTAATTAGCTTGGAATAACTAAATATTCACTAAAGACTAACTTAATTACCTATGAACAACTAAATATTCACTTGAAACTAGCTTAATTCACTTGAAACTCGCTATGAACTCGCATGAAACCAGTGGAATACCCGAATAAAGCCTCCATCTTCTGCTTTCCTGCAGGCACAGCACAATGCCAGCACCTGCCTCTCTACAGGAAGGGGGAAACAAAGACTTCTTCTTTCTCTGTTTTTTCGAGCTCCCACCCGTCAGAGACAAGCTGCCGAACTTCCTCGTCGGAAATTGGCGCATGCGAGAACTGGCAGTTCTTCCTCCTGCAGTTCTTCTTTATGTGGAACAGTTTACACGGGAATTTCGACAGATCGTGCGAGAACGTGCAGTTGCTTCCTCGAATACACGCATTCTTCACGAAGTACTTGCAGAGGTGCTTCTTCTCCGGCTTATACAGCACATTTTTATGGAGGATGTTCTCATCTGTTACTTCCCTATCAGATCCCTTCATCTTTTTGCTTTTCTGTCCCTTTTGCTGGTCTCGGAATCGGGGGACACACATTCTCGGCAGTCTCGGCAGTTCTATTATCACCATAAATATTTTCAATACAGAAAATAAGTAGAAACTGCATATAAGAAATGAACAAATAATTTTTCATGCAAAAAGAGAGTTGCGTGAAGAGAGAAATCGACGAAAAACGGACAGAGAAGCCCAGAAAAAGTGCTTTTGTCCTTATGGAGAGAGTATTTAGCCTCGCCATGTTTGGCATGATAGTGAGTGCGCTCAGTTCGGGAGTCCTCGCCCAAAAGGCCGAAAGGGCGCACATTTTGGAGGCAGAGTCCCACAGGAGCCCGGATAATTCGGGTTTTACACAGAGCGAAGAGATCCCAGGAGTTCGCAGCGGGATAGACCTTTTCAACGAGGAGCAGTTCGACTCCGCCCTGGACCACTTCACGCACGCCCTGAGCTACGCCCAGGCGAAGAAGGACCAGAAAGCAGCGAGAAAAGCCGCTCTCTGGCGCCTCCGGGCTCTTTTCCGGCTGGGAATGTTCGCTGAGATCCTGGAAAATTTTGACGACCTGAAAATGGAAAAAATCACCGGCCCTGAAAATGAAAAAAAAGAAGAGCCTGAAAATGGCCCTGAAATTGCAGAAATTCTCCAGAAAAGCGCAGAGTATGCGAAAATATCCGTGAAGTCCCCGGAGGAGGAAGTCTCTCGAGCCCTTGCAGAGTGCACCCACTCCCCCGCCCTCCTGAAGATGCGAATCCACATCCGCATGCAGAAAAGAGACTTTTCCCTCGCAATTCTCGACGCAGAAGTCCTTTTGGACTCCCGGGAGAAGGATTTTGCCGAACACGCGATAATTCACTGCCTTTTCCTCTCCGGGAAGACTCCAAGAGCCCTCAGCCGCCTGGAAAAGAGTTCCGGGTATAGTAAAGCCTTCATAGAGAGAGTCTCCGCTGCAGTGGAGAAGTACAACGCCCTTGCAAGACACTGTACAGCATCATCCCGCGATAACTACAGGAGATGGAGGGACTTTGCGAATAGAGACCTCGTTCTTGCCCGGGGAACTGACGCGTATTTCTCCCCGTTCGCCCTTGCTCACATTCAGGCACAGACTCTTCGGAGACTCCTGCGAATGGGCGAGGACTTGCGCGTGGGGAGCGAGGAAATCGTCGGATTCTCGGAGAGACTGCTCAGAAGTGGATTCGGAGGACCGACAGAGAGTGAATGGTGCGAGCACGTCCGAGTTCTCGTGAGGGCGGGAAAGTACGTCGCTGCAAGAGATGCGATCCAGGAGAACGTGACGGAGAAGTGCCCGGAGTACGCAGAGGTGAAGGAAGTCTACAACAACGCAGTGAAGAGAGCGAGAGCAGCCCGCGAGAGGGAGAGGGCAGAGAAGGAGAGGAGGGAGGAGCAGAAAAAAGAGAAAGAGAGAAAAGACGCAGAAAAAAAAGAAAAAACTCGCGCCCAGAGGAGGATGCAGTTCGTCAGCGGGAGAAGGGGGAAGAAGGCAGATCCTGAGGGATTCTACAGATTCCTCGGAGTGCGGGTCGGAGCCCGGAAGGAGGACGTCCTGCGGGCGTACAGGAAGGTCAGCAAAAAGGCAAATGTCGCCCTCAGAAGGGGAAGTCCCCAGGAGAAGGAGCGACAGAAGGAGGTCATCGTGCAGGCGAATAAGGCGAAGGACGTGCTTATGGACCCAGTTCGGAAGGAGGAGTACGACAGCGGATACTTCATGACGGAGAAGGAGAAGAATGCGTGGGGGTACACGGACGAAGCAGCAGACTTCGGGGACAGGAGAGACGCTTTTGCAGGAGGAGATATCTTCGACATCCTCATGAACGGAGGATTCGGGGGAGGATTCGGAGGGGGAAGAGGCACCCACAGAGTCGTCTACTACATGTAGGATGCTCCTGCGATGGGAAGAAGCTTCGGCTGCCTGCGTGCGAGTGTTGAAGTATAAAACAATAAAGTATTGAAGTGTTATACGTATGTATGTATTATTGAAGTATTTAAGTGTTATATGTATTATTGAAGTATTTAAGTGTTATATAAGTATATAAGCATTATTGAAGTGTTTAAGTGTTATATGTATTATACGTATGTATGTATTATTGAAGTATTGTTGAAGTATTTAAGTGTTATTGAAGTATGTAAGTGTTATATGTATTTTTAAGTATTATTGAAGTATTATTGAAGTATTTTCTATTGAATTGTACTGTGTATTGAAATGTGAAGAATTGAAAGGTTAAATATTTTAATATTAAACAAAGAAGTAAAAATTACTGTGAAAGTATTGAAGTATGAAGGAACTGTCCTATAACCAATAACTAAACTATTTTACTATAATAAATATAGCTGTATTATAACCCGAATAACTAAACTATTTTACTATAACAACTGTCATATAACTGTCCTATAACTATAACTATCCTTCTATAACTGTCATAAATATTTTACTATAACAACTATCCTTCTATAATAACTATCCTATATCTGTCATATAACCATAACTATCTTATAACTATCCTATGACTATCCTATAACTATAACTATCCTTCTATAATAACTAATATCTGTCATATAACTGTCATATAACTATCATATAACTATAACTATATCTTATAACTATGACTATCTTATAACTATTTTATATCTGTCATATAACTTATATTTATCCTATAACTATATCCTATAACTATCCTATAACTATATCTTATAACTATATCTATCATATGCCTATAACCCGTAACTCGCACTCCTTCTGCTTTTCTTGTTTATTCCCTCAGAGTTCTGGACTCCGTGAACTCTTCTGAGGCCACTCTCTCACTCACCCGGGAGGAAACCATCACTTCCTCGCAGACTTTCCGGAGGGAGTGCCTTCTCCCCCCAGGAGACTTCTTGAGCTGCGACAAGTCAGCCCCGCGGAAGGTGCAAGCAGCTAAAACCAGCGGCTCAGCCTCTGCCAGGCGCACTTCCACCTCCTGCTTTTCCTCCCTGTTCAGGACATTTTCCACCCGCAGGTTCTTCCCGTTTCCTATCGCGTGTAAAAGCCCGAATATTTTCCGGACTTGATTGTGCAGGAAAGACCGCGCCCGAATCCGCATGGCCCACACGTTCGCCCCCGGACTTTCTGAAATTTTTAGAAATTCAATTTTCTCGACGGTTCTTACAGCGTCCTCCGCCCTCGGGGAGTTTCCTCCGAATTTTTGCAGGCGCTTCTTCTTCGAGGACTCCTTCTCGGGCCTGCTCAGGCGACCAAACCACTTTTTTCCGATCAGTTTCTGGCTTTCTATCCGCATCTTTTCGATCGACATCTCCGGAGTCAGGGCAAAGTAGTACTCGTACTCCCTGGAAGTGCACGAGAATCTTGCACTGAACTCCTCTGGGACGAACATCCACCCTAGAACGCGTATGCTTTTTGGCATGTGCTGATTCAGCATTAGATCGTACGGGTACTCTCCGGAGGTGGGAGCTGGCAGGAGGAGGGATACGTACTGGGCTGCTGCTGAGACGCCTGCATCCGTTCTCCCGCACTTGTGATACCGCATTTCAGCGAGTCTTTGGAGGACTTCTGGGGAGTAAGTCTCTGTTTTCGCGGGTTCTTGGGTCTTTAGGAGCCCGGATTTCACGAGGGCACTCACGAGGAAGTGTTCTACTGTCAGGAGGCCTGGCTGCATGGCAAATCCGTGGTAGTCCCTCCCGTTGTACGAGATCTTCAGAAGCGCGTTCTTTAAAGGCCTTTCCATGCAGAAATAAAAAAATATGCAGGAAGAGAACAGGGGAAACAAGAGAGAGCAAGTCTTCGACCTGGAAAAGTACGTTGGGAAAAGGGTGAAAATATCCTTCTTCGGGGGAATTTCTGTTGTTGGGACTTTGCTGGGGTACGATCAGCTTCTGAATCTCGTCCTGGAGGGGGCGAAAATATGCGAGTTCCTGGAGAGTGACGGGAATGCAGCACTTCACGGACTACGCGCGGAGTCTCCTTCGAGCATGGTCTGCAAGGGAGCGTCTATATGCTCGATAGAGCTTGCCTCTTCCCCGGACAGTGCGGAGCAGTGCGCATACGCTGAGGGAAGTTGCTACAAAGTCACACAACCCGAATAACCCGAATTCTACTCCAATATATCTTCCACTGTTATAGCTATTCTACTAAGTATTCCAAATGTTCTACTATTAAATATTCTATTATTCTACTGCTATAGTTATTCTATTATTCTACTTCTATTATTCTATTATTCTACTGTTGAATATTCTACTAAATATTCTATTATTTTACTAATAAGTATTTTAACTGTTATAGCTATTCTACTACCACTAAGTATTCTATTGTTATAGTTCTACTACTACTAAATATTCTATTCTATTATTCTACTACTAAATATTCTATCATAGCTATTCTATTATTCTACTGCTATAGTTATTCTACTACTAAATATTCTGTTAACTATTTGCTTGCTGACTATTTTATACATTATTATATCTTACATATTTGTTCTAGTAACTATTACATTTTACTGCTTACTTTCTAGCTAACTATCCAATAGAAACTATCTTACACTATTATAAATATACTATAACTATCTCACTGTTACAACTCGCTTGCTTACTTACTGATTATCCTGTACAGTGCGAATACTATGCTGTATGAAAAACTTTGTGTACTTTTATTTTTCTTTTACGTACGCTTTTATGTCGGAAATATCTGGCTGCTCTATAAGGGGCCTCTCGGGGTCGTAGAGGACGTCATCTTCCGAGTTCAAGGAGACAAAGTCCTCTGAGATTGAACTATTGCAGAGATCGTAGAAAGTGCAGAGGGCCTTTTTGAAGGCACTTTTTTCGTGGGAAAAGGCCTCTCCTCCGGGCATATCTGCGCATGAGAAAATAGACTCTATTTCCTGCATGTTTTTAACGTGTTTTTTGCACTTTAGAATGAGCTCACTCAGGACGTATTGGACGTATTCCTCCTCGTATCTGCCTCCAACGGTATTCCTGAGCTTGGAGCTTCTTTTCTTCTTTCCTGTGCTGTTTCCCGTTACGAGAGTGTTCGTTATAAAAGACCGCGTGTAAACCGTCAGAGCATCCCCGGGTTCGAACTCGCCCTCGAGGACTTTTTTTCTTTCTCCGTCCTTTCTCTCCCGGACGCGGTGGAGCCTCTGCGTGTTTTCCCGGTACGTTCCTGCAGCACTTTCTGAGCTCTCCGCGAAACTCTGCACCTTTTTCCTCAGGTACTCCGATGTTTGGGCCAGGAATTCTGCTCGGGTGGTCTCCTTTGCTTTAAAAATATTTTCAGGGCTGTTTTCAGGTGCTGTCTTTAAAATGAAAAATTTTAGCTCTGAAAACATCTCTAAATCGATCAGGAACTTCGCGCCTTTCACGGGGCATCCCACCTCCAGGTGCATCTCTGCTGCGGCAAGCGTGTTTTTCTGCAGGAGAAGAACCTCCTCCATCTTTTCCACGCGCTCCCGCGTCCTCTCAGCGGGGTCCTCAAAAAGCTCTCGCCACTTTCCCAGCTGCATTTTCAGCTTTTTCAGTTCCGGGTTATTCGGGGTCTTTGTCCTGAGATAGCACCAAAGCGCGTCTTCCAGGTCGTTTTCCCGGCGCAGTGCATCCCCGCACAGAAGAAGCAGCGAGTCAACCGCCTCCTGGAACTCTCCGTCGAACCATTCGGGCACTTCTTCGCTCTCAAAGAAAGATTCCGCGTTTTCCAGGTAAAAATAGAAGTCTCTGGCCACGTCCTTTTCCAGGGATGCCTTCAGCGAGGAGAGCAGCAAATCCCGCTCACTCCCCCCGCGTGACTCCGCCTCTTTCCATGCGCTTGCGCCTATGCACGTTTTTATGCTGTAAAACGTCTGGCTTTTTTTGTTTTTGGAGACTTTTGAAATTCTCAGCCTTCGTTCTACTTCCTCGTGCTCGCTGAAAGGGTCCAAAACCTCCGAGTTCGCCGGCAAAAGCGTGTCATTGACGACGTCCATCGGGGTATTTGTTGCGTTCAGGATTATGTAGCAGAGTGTGTATTTGTAGCTGTTCATAGCGTGCGTCAGCAAGATTTCAGCGGAAAAAACTCCTATAGTTTTTCTTATAATTCTATCAGAAATGTGGTTGTTATCGTAAAAGCGCCAGGAGAGTGAATTCGGGGAAAGCTTCTGCCTCTGCGTGAAAAGCGCTGCAAACTTCACGAGTTGGGCGGGGTCGTTTTTCAGGTGGTGGATTTCCATGCACAGCTCGCACCACTCATAAATTTCTTCTTTTTTAACGGTTTCCTCTTTTAGGAGATCAAAGATTTTTGCAAGTGCAATTTTTTCGATCTTATCCACTTCAGGTTCGATTTCAGGCTCTGTCCCCAAAAACCGCACGATCTCCAAAAGAATGCGGGCAGGTACTGCTTCTTTCTCATAGACAAGCATCTGCAGCCACGGGCCCACAGGCATTCCGTATTTTTTCAGGGTGAAAATGGCGGACTCAACTTGGCCGTTTTTTATCAGGTTTGCCACTTTAATTTTTACCAGGGCCGGAATATAAAAGCTCTCAAGCATCCCGTATCTATCGATCAAAATAACGGTTGTTTCCGATATAAAGACAATTTTGCTGCTCTGTCCCGTTCGGGCAAGCTTTTCCTGCAGAATCTCCCCGTTTTCCGCATAAAACCGCACGATTTCCGTCCACGGGTGGCTTTCTCTCGTGACAACAAGGGACTTCTCCTCCTCCAAAAAAATCGGGCATGCTGAGGTTATTCGGGGCATCTCCACACACGTGCTTTTGTGCTCTATTTTCAGCGTGTGTGTGCGCGTATTGAGGGAAACGAGGCACTCCATCGGGCCGATTTCAACTTCCACGGGGGAATTCTCGCTGGAAAATTCTATCGTCTTTTTTTTGAACTCTGTACCTGAATTTTCCTTTTTTGGCAGTGGACCTGAAAATATCTGTTTTTTTCCGTTAATTTTGCACGAGATCTCACCATCCCAGGAGACGTGCATATCCGAAGGAACTCCATCCATTCCCATCTCTTGGCTGCACATGGGCGGAGGAATCGTGCACTTCTGCAAGTTATAGAAGAAAAGCCGGGCTCCGTCAATGTCTATAACGTTATCTCGCGACCTATTCACAAATGTAGTCTGCTCGAGGGAAATAATGTGCTCCGGCGTAACTATGCGGATATTCCCGCTTTCCCCCACTTCCATCCGCAGGACTTCGTGCACGGGGCTGGAAACTGCGTCGTTTACAGGGAAATTGCATTTCAGGTAAATCACGTTGTTTTTTACGTAAAAAACCTTTAAGTAGAAATTTTTGTTTTCCTTATGCAGCAAGTACAGATAACAAATCCTGGCAGAGATAAAAAATATTTCATTTTCCAGTATTTTTTCTTTTTCTGCATCAGATTTCCTTATGTGGAAGATCTCGTAAAATTTCAGGCTGTTTCTCTCCAAAACGTGGATTCTGTTCTCGTGCGTGACCGCATACATCTTCGGAAGAGAGCAATGCCATGTAACGAGCTTATAGCAGGACCGGGCCTCAAATTCAACGCTTTCCTTTTTAGGTGCTATTTCCTTATACGGCAAATCTTCACCGGATACAGGTAATCTTCTAACGGTGTTAACGTATGCGCCTTCGTCCAGCAGGAACTTCTTCGTCCCCATGAGGCGACTGTTCATGATTTTGTTGCAGACGGAAAGCGTGTCTGAAACGGGCTCTAGGTTGTACGTGTACACAGAAATGACTGTCCCCATGCAAATTGCAATGTATTTTCCATCTGGCGAAAATGTTATCTGAATTGGCGAAAACTTTTCCAGGTGCAGCTTTTTAATTTCCTCTTTTAGTAATTCGTCCCTGACTGGATTGAAAAATTTGTCTAGCAGAAAAACGCGCTCTCCCGTTACAACGACAAGACTCCCTGAGCCCGGGCTGAAAGAAGCGGATAAAATCCCCGTCTCGAACTCGCCCACACTCTCCCACGAGTACCCGCTTTTTTCTTCAGCCCTTTCCACTTTCCCGCTGTAAAAGACAGTCTTAAACGAGAGCCCGTCCGGGGATGCGTAGAAAGAAGCAGGATTTTTCACTCCCGAGTTATTCGGGGTTATCTTCCTGCGCGAAGACTCTTCGTATACTGCCCCATTCTCCAGGACGTATCCGTTGCTTGTGAGAGAACTGCTCCACTTTTCAGATCTTGTATGCTGTATCCGTGCGTTCTCCATAGAATAGAAATAAATTTTTTTTCATAAATTTCCCTCTTTCCCGTGGGATTTTACTAAGTAAAAAAGGCTCTCCTAAGTACCTGTCCAGCACTGTATACAAACACTAATTGATTTTTATTTTGGGATATTCTGGATATTACTGCTATCTTCTTCGGCCCGTGTACTTTGAGGTCTTTGGGACTGAGAATCCGCGCTCTTCTCGCTTTACCTTTTTCCTGAGAATCCACTCTCTGCGGGTGAGGTCTCTGTTTGCGACTGGCCGGTAGTTCTTTGGCTTTTGGGCGCTTCCTGAAATGTGGTTTGTTTTTCCTTTTGCGGCAGGCATTTCTAAAATCAGGTACGTTTTCCGTTTTTTTTTGCTTGTTTGATTTTCCAAAAGTGTTCCTCCGTGGAACCCGTATTTTCCCGCGCTTCTTAAAATCATCTGAACCTGATCGTTTGATTCGGGGTAGTACTGCAAAACGGCAGTTCCTGTGGCCTTTAGTGCGTCGTATAGCGTGTAGAAGAAGATCCCAAGCAAGCGAGCGGGCTCTTCCTGTATGAAAATCCACTGCAGAACGCTTACGCTGATGGCGCAGTCGACGGATGCGCTCCTGAGGGGCAGCCCGTGGAAAATATTTGCAGATGCAAAATCAAAGTTCGGGTTATCGGAAGCCCCGAATAACCCTGCATCGACTCTTTTCTGTGCCAGGTCCAGCATATTTCTGCTGATATCCACGCCCAGGACGAAGTTTCCGTGGGAGAGAACGTGCTCTGTGCTGATTCCGCTTCCGCAGCCTATGTCGAGAACTAGCGAGTTTGTGGGGTTGTTTAGTATCTCCAGGCATCTCTCCGTTAGCTTGCGCTGGATTCTGTTGATGCTTGTGCTTCTGTCGTAGTTTTCAGCGACTTCTCCCGTGTAGTGGATTTCGTTGCCGAGCTCCTCTGGCCTGCCCATTCGAAAAAAAAATTTGCTTTCTCGTATTTATTGCGGGGCGCACTATAAAGCAGAGAAATCGGTAAAAATTTGTTTTTTATTCGGGAGCGCATGTACGTGCAGGAGGAGGGGCGCCGCGCAAAAGCAAGCAGATAAATGTGCTGCTCTCGGGGCGTGCTCGCAAAAGAGCCCAAAAACTCGGGAAATAGCCCCCAAACAGGCCTTTTTTCCGCTTTGGTTTTTTTACATCGGCGTGTAGTTTCTGGGAACGCACATTTCCGGGTAAGAGCGGAAGAAGTCCTTGTACCCGCCCTCCATCACGTACACGTTCGGAAAAAGCAGCTCCGGATATGTGCTTTGCAGCCGGTCCTGATTTCGCAAAAAAAGTGCCATTCTTGGGGCGCGAACCGAGGAGTATTCACAGTATAAAATTATCACAAATTTCTTTTTTTCTTTTTTGTGCAATAATTTCCGGAAAAGGAAATTCATATCTTTTTTCGAGCTTATGTTAAGGGCCGTGTGGATATGCCCGCCCTCGAACTCGTACGCAAACCGGCAGTCCACAAGAAGGAACTGGCCTGTCTGCAAAAGGTGGAAAACCGTGTGGACTGAAACCCGCCAAATGCTGTCGCTTGGGCCTGTTCCTATCGCAGGAAGAATTGGTTTTGGCGGGTTTTCGGTGTGAGTTTCTGATTTTTCGATACAAACTTTTCGGGTCCAGTGGAGGGGAGTGTGCGTGGAAGCTCTTGTAAGAGTCGGGGAGAGGCGGTGCCTGTTCGTGGAGTCGCCCAGTGGGGAGGCGATTTTGGACATTCCTGTCTTTTCCGGGGTCTTGTCGCCCTTTGTCTGGGGCTCACCGCCGCTTTTTACGCTCTGCGCGCTAAGTCCTGGGATTTTGCCACTATTTTTTACACACTGTGCACTATCTGGTGCAAGCCCCGCATTATTTTCTACACACTGCGTGCCAACTCCTGGTGCACTCCGGGAACTTCCACGGGGCATGCTACTTTCTGCGCATTGCGCACTGCGCTCTGGGCTTTCGCCACTATTTTTTACACACTGTGCACTAATTGGCGTAAACACTGCACTGTTTTTTACATGCTGTGCACTAGCTCCTGGGGGCTTGCCACTGCTTTTTACACGCTGTGCACTAAGTTCTGGAACACTTTGGGAGCCCCCACAGGACGCATTATTTTCTGCACACTGTACACTAAGTTCTGGATTTTTATCACTATTTTTTACACATTCTGCACTAATTGGCGTAAACATTGCGCTACTTTCTACACAGTCTGCGCTAATTGGCGCAAACACCACACTAATTTCTGCGCACTGCGCGCCAACTTCTGCGCTTTCTATGGGAGCCTGCACGATAGAGTTTCCTGGCTCAGGGAAAGCTTCAACGGCTCCAGGAGAGCCCCCAGGCCCCGATGCTTTGTTGAAATTTACGCTGAAAATGGGCCTTTTAGCTCCCTTGCAGATGCCCTGCACAAAACTCTTTCCTATCTCTTCAATCTCGTGCTCGTCAAAGACGATGGCGTCCAGTTCGGACTCGATGCTGCTCATGAAGGGCCTTGCAAAATAAAAATATATATGATACTTTTTACACACTATGCAGTATGTGGGATTTACTGCATGGTGTAGCACAAGTGCTGATTCTTTGTGCACACTGTGTAGTAAGTCTTGTCTGGTCGTATCTGGAGCTGTTTTGCATTGCACAGTAAGTCTTGTCTGGCTATATCGGGAAAATATTGTGCTGTGCGCAGTAAGTCTTAGTCTTTTTTTGGATATTGTTTTTGTGCGCTGTGCACTAATTGGTGTTATTGTTTATGGCATTTCCTGCATAGTGTGTAATAAGTCCTCCAATAAAGTGCGTAATAAGTAATATTTATTGTGCAGTGGGCAGAAAGCAGGAGCTATGCCCGCTGTGCAGGAAGTAGTGCTCAAAGGGCCTCTACGACTTGGTGCACCGCGCGTAGTAAGTGGGGTTTGCTGTGGTGCGTAGTAAGTCCTGCAGCAAATGCACACTGTGCACTAGATCTTGAAACCTGCCCGTATTTAATACCCAGTGTGTAAAAAGTAATGTTTGAGAAATTTACAATTCGGACGAAGCCCTACGAAACAAGCCCTTTTCAGAGTGAGCCCGGGTTTTCCTTGCTGAAAATGCTGTCTTTTGACCCCATCGGCGAGTTTAGCGCGGAAGAGTGCATTTCCTGGGCTTTTCTCACGCTTTTAGGGTGCTGTATATACTATTTCTACGGGGTCATTAAAAAGCGGGTTTCCCTGCGGATCCTGGGAAAGACAAAAAAAGCTGCGGAAAAAAGGCAGGGGGCAGAAATAGACTGTGGGAAAGAGAACTGCCAAAGAGCCCGCGCCGAGAGATGATGTTCCGGGACTCGTAGCAAGGTCTGGAGGCTCTCTGCAAAAAAAATAAAATTTAAAGGGCAGACTTGCACTTACCACACACTGTGTACTATATTGCTTTTTGTGCGCTGTGGGTTTTCTTCAGGACATGCTACGCACTGTGTATTGCCTTACTTACTGTGCACGGTGTAGTAAATAGCGCCATGTACTGTGCTACTACTTGCCGCACACTGTGTGCCTATTGGTGCTATTTACTGCACGCTGCACAGTAAGTAAGGCAATACACAGTGTGCTGCTGCTTACTGCACGCCGTGTGTTATATTATTTTTTGCACCGTGCGCATTGCCATACTTACTGCGCAGTGTGCCATAATTCTCGCCGGCCTCTTTCTTTTTTTTTTCTTTTCTCCCTTGCATGACAAACCAAGTTATAGCAGATATTAACTCACTCACGGTTTTAGAGAAGAACCCCATTCCAAAAGGAAAAGGATCAAGATCATGCAGAGCATGCATGTCTAGACGAGGACTTATTAGAAAATACGATATGATGATTTGCCGTAGATGCTTTAGAGAGTACGCTGAAGACATAGGCTTTGAGAAGATGAGCTAAACTCAGAAATAAAAAAATACAGAAGCACCCGTTACTTTTTATGCCGTGTGTGTTAATTGCCATTGTTTTTGCGCACTACACAGTAAATAGTGCTTTTGTGCCCTGTGCAGTGGGCCCTGGCAGGATTTATTCGCCTATTTACTGTGTAGTGTGCAGAAAATCCCAGCAGAGGCAGCACTCCCTATTTATGGCGCAGCATGCAGTAAGTCTCAGCGTGTTTGGTTGCTACTTACTGTGTAGTGTGCAGTAGATTCCGGCATGCGGCAGTAGCTCCACTGTTTGCTGCGCCGTGTGTAAGAACAAACAGTACTTGCTGTGCGCTGGGCAACTAGTGTGTTTATATTTTGGCTTTTGCGCACAGCACAGGAAGTAGCAGCAAACCCCCAGCCAAGACTTAATGCACAGTAGAAAAGAGGCGAATACAAATGTGTTTATTTAGCATATTCCTGGCGCATCTTCACTTCTTGGCGCTTTTCATTCGAGCCTCCTTTGCAGCTGCTCGCACGGGCCTGGTTCTCCCACTGCCATCCGAGCTTGCCTCTTTCGAAGAACCTGATGAGGAACCTGCCGAACTGGAAGAAGAGCCTGATGAACTGGAAGAAGAACCTGACGAGGAACCTGAGCTCGAACTGGAAGAGCCCGAAGGGCTTGAACTTGCCTCTTTATCGGACTGCTCCTTCTCAGACTTCAGATCGCCTGAGTCCTTCCCGCGCTTTGGGCTGGCCTTTTTCTCCTTCTTTGCGCCCGTGCTGGGCTTCTTCGTGGCTGTTTTCTTCCCTTTTGCGCCCGTTTTCCTCCCTTTCGTGCCTGATTTCGAGCACTCCCAGAAAATGTCCAGGCCCGTGAGGGAAACAATCCCAAGGATAACTGCCCCCGTGAGGACTGCGCATCCGGAGACGCCCGAGTTCTTCATGAGGAAGTATACGGCCAGAGAGCAGTCTTTCAGCATGCAAGGCCTCAGCCCGGGCCTGCTTCTTCCGTCAACGTAGAGCACAAAGAGTATCCCCAGGCTGAAGACGCTCACTCCGAAGAGATACGGAATAGACGCAGACCCTGAGAGGTCGATGGCGCTGAAGAAGTCTGCAATGCAGAAGATGCAGGAGAGAACGTGCGAGAGAGGTGTTTTTCGCACTTGCAGGGCCAGGTGCAGGAGGACCATAAAAACAAAGGAAACGGCCACTCGTATGAAAATGTGCCTGGTTTGTGCTATGCCCTTAAGAACCAGGAGAATGTACACGTATATGAGGGAGACGCCAACTTCGTGCACGCTTTTGAAGCCTCTCCCGTTTAAGAAGCAGCAGGAGATGCCTGCTCTTGCGATTAGCTTCATTTCGTCTAGGTTTTTTACCGTTTCGCCTGCGACTTTCAAGGCATGGACTGCGCTCGCTGAAGGAAAACTCATACACAAACAAACGAAAGAATATTTAGCTAAATAAAATATATTGCACAGTGCGCAGAAAGACGCGGGACCTACTGCGCCCCGTGCAAAAAAAGCAGGACTTACCGTAGAGTGTGCGAAAAGTCGGGTACACAGGCCCGTGGAAGCAGGCGGCTGCAAGAAGCAGCGAAGCGCGAGAACTTACTCCACACCATGCAAAAAAAGCAGGACTTACCGCAGAGTATGCGAAAAAAAGCAGGACTTACCGCAGAGTGTGCGAAAAGCACCGGGCAAGCCTGAAAAGGGCCGCAGAAAGCCCGAAATCCGCTCTCTGGCCTTCTCTGCCACGTAGAGCCTCTGCAAAGGGGGCAGGCCAAGAAGTGCGCTGTGTGCGGTACTACCAATTTATTTATCTGCTGGACTTAGCAACTCTCTCGATTTCGTCTCTCTTCTTGACGGCGTACGAGTTTGGGTTTCCCCGCGAGGCTGCAATAAGCTCGTCTGCAATCGTCTCTGGGAGCGTCTTTGTGTTCTTAAACGCGGCCTTTCGCATGCCTGCAGTCAAGTATGCAAGCGCGAGGTTCAGCCTCCTCATGGGCGAGACGTCAACAGAAGACCTTTTCGCAGATCCCCCCTTTCCGACACGGGCTGTTGACTCCCTGGGGCCTGCGTTGATGCACGCGTCAACCAGGATCTGGATTGGGTTCTTTTTGGTGAGTCTTTCCACGATGACGAAGGCATCTCGCACGGCCTTCAGCACCAGGATGGACTTGCTCGTGTTTCTCCCGTGTCTCATAAGGCCGTGGGCAAGGCGCATGGTAAGAGGCATTGCAGCCTTCTCAAACTGTTTTTTGCAGTAGCTTACCCCCGTGTGTGGAACTGACACTCTCGTGTGCACGTTTATGTACGGCTTCATAGAGACGTCGTTTACTTCAATGTCGTCGTAAGAGTATCTTCCGAATAATTTTATAGAATTCTCCAGAGAATTGACTTGGTTCATTGCAGGGTAGCAAAAATAAAAAAATGAAAAGAGTTTGCGTGCTCTCAGAAAAGAGCGAGTTGGGGGTTTTCCAGCGGGGAAGCGACGGATATCTGCTTATGCCCGTCTGCGTGCACGGGTATACAGTACTGGAAGATGAGAAAGTGAGTGCGCTCGTTTTGGGGGTGAGCATCCGCACGGAGTCTGAGCTGAAGGAGGTTTTATGCGGGTTCCTGGGGTATGAGAGCGTGCGGGAGGGCCTGCAGTGCACCTACGCAGAGAGCAATGAGAACGTGGAGGGCATTCTGCGCATGTACGAAAAGACTCGAAGCATGCCCGCGGAGAGCGACTGGGCGTGCATCATGAAGTACATCGCGCATGCAGAGTAAACAAAAGCACAGCCAAAACGTGCGAAAAAATAAAGCAAAGTCAGCGATCAACAAAACAGCCCGAGAAAGCCTGTTTTCTTCACTCTGCAGGCGGACAAGCAAAGCCGGGAGTAACATAGAGCAATTTAATAATCCGGGCCCACATCTTCTGCGGCCTCTGCATGTGACGTGTGCACGTTCTGCTACTTCACGTCTTTTCCGCTTTTTATTATCTCGTCCACCATGAGGATCTTAGTTGCTGCAAGGACGGAGGACTCGATGGTGTTTCTGACAATTGCATAGTTATCGAGTATGTTCATGTCTAGGGCGTTTTTGACCTCTCCCGTCGATATTTCCACGGCTGCATTCTCTGTGTGCGAGGCCCTGATGCGTGCGAGCATTTCGACGGAGTTATATCCGAGGTTCTTCAGAAGCACCTTTGGGACTGCGCGCAGGGCCTCCCTCCATATGGTGCACGCCACTGTCTCCTCCGGGGTTTCTTCCTTCTGCTGGATGCTTTCTGCGAGTGCGAGGTATGCGGATGCGCCTCCTGGGACAACGTTTCCGTCTGCGAGTCCGCAGGATATCGAGCGGAGTGCGCTTTTGACGGCGCTCTCCAAGTACTCCATCTGGTACGGGGATATTCCCTGCACAAGAAGGGTGCACGTCTTGTTGAACGGGGTCTTCTCGACAAACGTAAACTTATCGTCTCCCACGGAGATCTCCCGGACAAGTCCTGCAAACCCAAAGACGTTCTCGTTGAGCTCTGCCAGGCTGGTCACGGGCGTGCATCCGGTGAGCTGCTGGAGTCTTTCCATGTTCTTTCTCTTCGCTCTTCTGAGGGCAAGGACGTTGTACTTTGCGAGAATCTCGAGGGCGTGCTGGTCGATTCCCTTCTGCGTGACCAGCATAAACTGCGGGTTCTGCTGCTGGTTGGCTATTGCGACTTTCTGGATGACCTCCAAAACCTTCTGGAGTCTCTGCAGGATGACTCTTCTCTCGCCCTCCTCCATCTGCAGCTTCTCCTGCGTGCTCTTGTAGTAAAACTGCGCGTTATGCTCTGGCTTTTCGTACTCGAAGGAAATGTTCGTGCACAGGATAAAAACGTTCTGAAGCCTCTTTGGCATCATGGGGTGTCTTCCCCCGTGGTCCATCACGAGTCCGCGCACTATTCGGAGCGGCTCTGTGGCGTCAATGTCTGCCATCTTCACGATTTCCAGCATCTTCAAGTCCGTGGTGTTTTTGTCTCGGACCGTTTCAGAGGCCTCCACGATGATTTTGGAGTACTTCTCCGCCTGCTTCTGCGAGAACTTCGTGCGCAGGGCCGTGTGTGCAAGCTTGTAAATCGTCGCCTGCGTGTCCTCAATCGGGACCTTCAGCGCGCTGAGGCTCTCCAGAACCTGCTTTTCCTTCTTCAGCAGCCCTGAAATAATCACCTGCGGGTGCACGCCCTCGAATATAAACTCAAGCGCCTTGCTCAGGATCGTTGCAGAGAGAATCACCGCGGAAGTCACCCCGTCCCCGCACTCTTCGCCCTGCTGCGTGACCATTTTCGAGAGAAGGACGGCTCCCGGCTGCGCTAGCTGTATGTTCTTCAGAAGGTTTATCCCGTCCTTCACCAGGCGTATCTCTCCAGCAGGCGTGATCAGCATTTTCACAGCTCCGTTGGGCCCTAGGCCGTTTTTTATGGTGGCGCACAGCTGTGCTATTGCCTCCGTGTTTAGGACAATCGCCTGCCCTGCTTGTGTTATTTGTGTCTCTTTTCCGAGGTATGCCATGCGAATTTGCGAAAAAATAAAATGAAACTATTTATGCAGAAGCGCACGCGCACACTCGCACTTTCCCGCACAATTCCAGAAAAAGGCACAGCATCTGCGACTGGGAGGCGCTGGGCGTGCCGAATAAAAATGAAAGAAATGGCACTAATTAAGCCGTGGCGGACTTGGTGATGCTAATTAAGCATTTGGCGTTTGAGGAGCTGATACAGCGCGCAGAAGCACAGCAGATGCTGCTTTGTTGGCAGGAATTGGCGTAGATACGCGTGTTTCGGCCTTTGCCTCCCGCACACGTGCACTGCCAGCGGGTGTGCAGGCTTTTCTCTGCGCTCGGCGGTTTTTGCTTGTTCTTTGGGCGTAAGCTCCTGGGCCTATGCCTCTTTCTTGGACTACTCTGGGAATGCGCATTGCATCTGCTGCATAATTAAAAATAAAAGTCACAGAGTATTTACATATCGAAATCACGCTTTCTCTTGCACAGCCTGCATTCATCTGGGGATGTGGGCAAATCCATTGGATTACTCCCTTTCCTGGGCGCATGTGCGGTGTCAGGTGAGTATTTCCTGTTGGTTTAATTCTAGATTTCTTGTTTGGGCAGTTATTGGTAATTGGCTGGCATAGATATAAATATACCTATAATAATACAATCGATTATGAGCATTCGAGAAGAAGAGGAAAAGAAAAAGCCGGAGAATGCGAGAGAACGGCTGCCAGGAGGATTTGCCTCGGGAAACACCTCAAATGAGGTCAGTCCCGAGCAGGAAGAGTGCGGGTGGAACACGCAGGAATCGATACTTGGGGACAAGCCGTACATGCTCCCAAATGGCGAAATGTACAAAAAGCGCGTGCGGACAGTTATGACTCCCATACAGAGCGAGTCTCTTCGGAGGTACTTTAGAATAAACCCGTTTCCTTCGTCGGACGTGCGCGCCTCCATTTCCTCCTCCCTGGGGATGCGGCCACGCACTGTGCAGATCTGGTTTCAGAATCAGAGACAGAAAATGAAGCACGTCCTGCAGGAGGAGGAGCGCATAAAAGAGTTTCGAGAGGCAGCCGTGTACACGGGAGCGAAGGAAGAAGAGCCTCTGTGGGTTCTAGCACACCTTTCTTGCACGGTTTTAAACACAAACAATGCAGTGTAAATGACAAAAGCAACATTCATATCTTATTCTAAACATTTTGAATTCGGGCTACTAACAATAAAGCAGTATGTTTTATGCGCAGGCTACACTTTTTTGGCGCGGCATTTCTTCTTCTGCAGCGAGCCTCTTCAGCCTGCTGGCACGCTGACACGGCACTCCCAGGCGACAAATGAAACAGGGGAAAATAAGCTGAAACCGCGCAGAACAGTATAAATCGGCCGTGATTATTTACAAACATGCAAAGAGACGAGCAGGAGTACGAGTACCTGTACAAAATTGTCCTTATAGGGGACAGCGGAGTTGGAAAAACAAACCTGCTGGAGCGGCTGGCGCACAACAGATTCAACACCAGCACAAAGTCAACGATTGGCGTGGAGTTTGACACAAAGTGCTTCCTTGTGGACGGAAAAAAAATAAAGGCGCAAATCTGGGACACTGCAGGCCAGGAGCGATACCGAGCCATCACGTCCGCATACTACAGAGGCGCAGTTGGCGCAATTGTTGTTTACGACATAACCCGGCGAGACTCCTTCGACAACGCAACCAGCCAGTGGATAAAGCAGCTGAAGGACAACTCCGAGACAGGCCTTGTCATTTCCCTGGTTGGCAACAAAACGGACTTGGGGGAAAAGCGGAAAGTCACGCTCCAGGAGGCGCGAGAGGCTGCACAGATCGGAAACTACCAGCTCACAGAGACGTCAGCGCTCTCCGACGTGAACGTCCAGGAGGCATTCCAGTCCCTCGTGGAGAAAATATACAGGACGCGCGCCATGGACCGGCAGAGTGGAAGCCGTGCAAACATCGTGAATCTAGAGGACGACTCTTCTCTGAAGAAAACAAGTCACTGGTGCTGCTAATTTTTTATACAATGAAAAAGCCCGAGAAAAACAGCGCGCTCTGTCCCCGCAGGATGTCGGTGGGCTCGAGCGAGGCGCAGGCCCAGGAAATACAGCGGATGTGCCGGTATTTCGAGGAAAGGCCTGCCCTGGTAGAGCAGATCCGTGCGGAAGTAGATGCGCTCTCCATCGATCCGGGCATCAAGAAGAGCTGCACCAGGCAAAGCCACCGGCTACAAAGCGGCAGCGAGTGCAGGACCTGCCAGGAGGCGGAGGACAACCGAAAGCTCCGGAGCATTCACAGATTCCAGGCCGACCACAAAGAAATTGAAAGCATAACAGATAAATGGAGGGATGTTCTTCTGTGCGGGTTTAACGACTTGGTAAAGTACATGGGGTGCGAGCCTATTTCCGCATACAACGCGTACAGCCTGGGCTCCATCCACATAGCAAAGGAGGAGCTGGACATATACGAGCCAAGCGAAAGCGAGCCCTCCCTTGAGTCGTGCGACTAGCTTTGTGGCCGCCCGCTTTTTCCACTCCGAAGCTGCGCCAATGTTTTTCTAATAAATGCGATCTACAATTTTATTTACCTCTTTCTTTCCAGCCCACTTCCCGCGGGCTTGCGCACTTTATGCTGTTTCCTCTCCCTCCGCGGGCTCTTCCTCTGTCGCCAGCCTCTCGGGGCTCTCGCTCTCTGCGGGCTCCTCCGCGACTGCAGACGGGTTCAGAAGATGGCTCTGCTGCGTCTGCAGGAACTGCAGGAATACCTTGATGTACTCGCCCATGTACTCTATGTACTCCTTGGAGAGGCCGAGGCTGGCCTGGACTCGGTGCAGAACCAGAAGCATCCGGAGCACGTGCGTAAGCCCAAAAGTCTGCAGAATTTTTGTGGTTTTCGGGTACAGATACTCCTCGTAGAACGCCCTCTCCTCTTTGTAGAGGATGCACGTGTGGACAGTGTACAAAAAGATTTCTTTGAACCCCTTCACTACCTCCTTGATCTCCTCAATGGAGTGCGGCTTCTGCTCGAGCTGTGCGCTGTAGAAAAGCGAGAAAATCTCATCTGCTGATATTTCGACAGGAAGCGGCTCCTTGTACGCAGCCATGGCTGCTTTTTCGCACATAAGAAGCTCCTGATACTCTTCAGAGAGCTCGATCTTGGGCCAGGGCGCGCCCAGCTCAGAGCCCTCCTCCAGGACAGAAGAGTCTGCAGCCTCCAGCGCGGTGGATGGGACCCACTTTGTCTGCCCCCCTGCCGTTTTCACTTTGTATATTGTGAGGATGCTTGACGCCCCCACAGGCTTGTCCTTCTTCTCCAGGATTATGCCAAGCTCCTTCAGAGAGTCTGTCACCACAAGCACTTTCTTTCCCTCCGTCAGTATGGTTTTGGCTGTCTTTTCGTTAAGCATCGAATGAAAATGCAAAAATTTCTGCATTTATGCCTGTCTGCCGGTGACGGGTGTGAAAATGCAAAATGAAAAGCGCTGGATCTGCCCTCCATAGCCCGAATTCTTGAAAGTCCGCGCGCTATCACCGCCCAAGCCCAGCGCAAAATGGCCTCCTGCATCGTGCAGATGCTTTTAGCAGCGATTATATTGGCCCGCCCACTTTTCTCCAACTGGCATGCCAGGAGTTTGCATGCATAAATAGTGCTCTCTTGAGGCACTGGATAATATACGTAAACATCTGCGTTTTCACGTGTTTTTTTTCATTTGGGCTCTGAATCTGCTCTTTCGCTGGGCAAGTGCTTTTCTCTCCCTGCCCTCTTTGGGCTTGGAATTTTTATTTTATGCGTGCACGGCCTTTCTTTTGCTTGTCCCTTTCCACGCATAAGCTCCAGCCATGCACACTCTGAAAGTGCAGAATTGGCCAATCAATAAAATAGCCCCTTCTGACGGCCTATCCATCGCACTCGCTGGCTCGCTGTTTTTGCCCAGAAGGGCTCTCTTGCGCTCTTCTGCTTCGCACCATGCCCAAGGGCGTGCATTTTGGCAGGATGCAGTCTCTAGCTGCCCGCTGGAAGGCGTGCTTTTTCTGGCGGAGTCTTGCGCGCTCGCCCCTCCTTCTGCAGAAACTGCAGCATTGGAAAGCAAAACATTGAAATTTTATTTTATGCGTTTCTGTGCTGCCCATGCGCTTTGCCCAGTTTAGATAATTAGATCAAAAGATCTGTGCATCAGATGCAGCAATCATAGTGATTCTAGCAGGGTATGGCGCGCAGAAAAACACCTGCTTTGGGGTGTCTTTTCTGCGATTTATTCTGCAGTTTGCGCTGTTTTTTTATTTTTAATAGCCCCGAAATAAAGAGCCAAGCGCTGCAAGGGCATAAATCAGAACGCCAATTGGCTTGCTCTTAGGGGTGATGTTATAAGAAAAATTTTTATTTCCATAACGAAATGTGTGCGCAGCAGACATGCAATGAAAATAGAAACAGCAACGATGATAGATTTGATGTAAAGTCTTTCCGGTCAAAAATATTGTCTAGAAAGGGAAGAGGCCTTGTAGACGAAAGATGGCTGGAGGCACACGTGGTGGAAAGCGCTGAAGTGCTTGTTTTGGACGAGAATCAGCTAAGCCTGCTTCCGCCGGGGGCGCTGAGGAAGTATTTTCCCAGGCTAAAAATTCTAAGCTTGAGGGGGTGCAGCCTGGAAAGGCTGAGCATTGAGGCAATTTCGCACCCGACTCTGGAAATCATAGATGTTGAAGGAAATGTGGGCCTGACGTCCTTGTCGGTGTGGGAGGGAAGCCCCAAGGAGGGCGCGGCGCTGGAGGGGCTGCCTTCTCTGCAGGTGCTGAATCTTCTGGGCACAAGCATCATGCACATTGACCCAGGCTTTTTCGAGTACACGCAAAACCTTCGCCGGCTGAACATGCACGTGGAAAGCGTGTGCGGCGGGTGCGGGTTTGGGTTTCTGGGCATGCTCGAGTTTTTGGAGTGCCTGAAGTTCACTGGGGTGAGGACAGGCTCGTGCTCGATATGCAAAACCGAGATGCACACCGCCGGGTTTTCAACCGTCATAAAATACTCGATATACAACATGGTCTGCAAAATGGCCTCTCTGATAGAGCTGGACCTTTCGGGGCGGAGCATGAACATAGACTACTTCATTTTCCATGCGCCGCTTCCAGAGCTGGCCACGCTGCGGCTCCAGGGAAAGCTTGTGCGCGACATGAGTCTGCGAGACTGGCCGGGAATCATAAAGACGATCCGGCATCTTTCGCTTGGCGTGCTGGACGACTCTGAGGACGCGTCCGGGCAGAAGGCGTACAGCGAGTCCACGTTCTACACGGAGAAGATCCTGGAGGCCACAAACCTGGAAAGCCTGTCGTTTGACTGCGAAACCACGAGGCGGATAAAGTTCTCGCTGGGCACCAAGAAGGTGGTTTTTCCGCACTTGAGGCACTTGACGATCAAGAACTGCGACTTGCGCCCACTCACGTTTTTCAACAAGGAAAACGCGCCTGCGCTGGACAGCCTGGAAATAGTCAGCGTCTCCTTCACAGAGGGGTACTTCTACACAATCAAGAAGAGGCTTGGAAACCGGCTCCGGAGCCTGCGCATTGGGATTGAAAAGATGGACGCGCCCCAGGCAATATACGACCTGTTCACGTTCATACGAAGCCACAAAAACATGGAAATCCTGCACTTGGCGGTGTGCGAAACCATAACGGAGTCGCAGAGCTTCTACAAGTACTTCAGCGACCAGCCAGCCCTGAAGGAGCTCTATGTGATTGGGCAGATGAGCGTGCAGAGGATGAAGCGGTTCCTGTACCAGCTGGGCCGCTGCGAGACGCTTAAGTCCTTGCTTCTGGATATAGAAGACCCTGCGCTGGTTTTGACATACTTCTGCCCCATCCGCACCTTGGAGTTTTTTTCTCTTAAGGGCACGTACAGAAACCATTCAAACTTCCACACAAAGCTCGGCACAGACGAAGAAGCATTTGGAAAGATTGGGGAAATGCCTGCGCTGCAGGTTCTTGACATGGGCCACTGCGGGCTGTCAGGGTTTCCCCCTTCGGTTTTAGCGAAATTCTCGGACCTAAAGTACTTGTATTTAAACAACAACAACATGCACGACATTCCAGACCAAACGGTTTCGTACCTGGCCTCGTTCAAGGAAAAGCCTCTTTTTGTTGACATATCGGACAACCCCACAGATGTGCACAAAATAGAGAAAACCGTTTGTAACGAGACCTGGCTGGGCGTCTCTGGCTTTGTTATGTATTAAATGCAACCTATATGAAATAAACCTACATAAAAACCGCTCTTTATCTGCAGGCAGGCCCAGCGAAGCAGCAGCACATGTTTGCGCTTTGCCTGACATGCCAACATTTGGCTGGTTTGAGCACACAAAGAAAAGCCGCTTGAAAACAGCTTGCCCGAATATCCGGGTGCATTCCTTGGAAAAGGTCTACTGGGCAGGCGCCCCCACAAAAAGCATCGGCAGCCAAGGGCCCAGAAGAGAGCTGCCGCGCGAACTTGGCAAAATTCAAATCAAAAACCTGATGTTTTGCCCAATTTTCCTTAACCGGGAAATTTGCGTGTGCCGCTTTATATACACACGCGCTTTTCAACAAATAGATGACCATGTATTCGGAAAGAGCGTGCGCGCTCTTCGCTAGAAAGCATTGCCTTTTTCGTGCGATGTGCCTTGTATTTATCGGGGCCCAAATCGCACTGGCATCTGAAAGCCACCAGATTGAAGGGGAGTCCGACCTAAGCAGGACCATCCGCGTGCTATCCCACGAGAACACAGGCATGTCTGTAGAAAACATTGAATTTCGCATATCTGAAGACGGCCTCCTCCATGCAAAAAATCCTGCTCTACAATCTATAAGCATAACGCTAGAAAACTACGCGGCTCTAGAACCGTCTGTGAAAAGCTTTGACGCGTGCATTGTATACAAAAACATAAAAATACAAGGGCGAAACGGTCCTTTGGGGTATGCAGAAAAAAAGGCGCAAATGCTGCTTTTTATGCGTTTTTTGGACGCGTTTCAAGACATTAAGGCAGACGAGATCTGCGTGCAGGACCTTGTGTTCAAAGAAGAGCATCCGCCTGTCCCCGAGAGGCTGCCTGCTAGAAGGCCTGTGCCTGCCGTGTACTCTGCCAGCGTCAGAAAAATTGTGTTTGTAAACGTAAGCAGTTCTGTGTTTGTTGGAATGCTTAAGAAGTACACGTTTGGCGCGCCGGTTGAGCTTGAGTTTAGAAACTGCCGGGAGGCCACATGGGACAGCCTGGCCAAACTGCCAAAGTCGATCCGGTACGCAAGGATATCGATAGACAGTATAGGCAGCACAAAACACATAAGCTCGGAAAAGCGAAAAAAACTGCAGAGAATAATGCCTGTTGTAGAAATCTCCTCCAGCTTCGAGCCGGATCAGTGCCCTCCAGAGGAAAGTTCGCTTTCTTGTGCGCCCCTGCGGCCAGCTCCAGAGGAAGCCTGTGCGCCTTCGCATATAAATAAGCAGGAGATTCCTGCAGCTGCGCCTCCGCGCGCCCTTCCGAGCATAAAAGGCGTTTCCATAAGAACATACGCAGAAGCCAGCGCAGAAAGAAAAAAAGAGCTCTCTACGCAAGGAGACGTGCTGGTTTTGCTGGTAAACGATCCGAGCGACCTGCGTATCGAGGGCCCCGAGCATCTTGGACTTGTGAGGAGCATGCGCGCGCCTTTCTCCTCAGGCTCCCTGAAATCCCAAATCGAGGCCCTTTTCGACCCTATAGGTATCGGCTTCCACACCAGGCACTTTGCCCGCGACGACCGCCCCGAAAACTTTCGGGTAAACATCCGGTTTGCACGCCCGCAAAGCTTCTCTTTGGACCTGCTAAAAGAAACCCTGAAGTGGGCGGTTGCCCAGGTAGGAAATGTCAGTGACCTTACAGTGTCGAACCTTAGCATTTCCGGGAGCGACCTGGTAATTCTCGGCTCAATTAAAGCGTGCGTGGAGGATCTGAGCTTCTTGAACCATTTCTGCCTGCAGAGCTCAAACAGAGAAAACGCGATTCTTGTGCTGAAAAACGCTGATTATGCAGAAAGCACGATCCCCGAGCAAATCGAGCTGAACCCGCAAAGCATGGATGCAGTAGGGCTTCCTTTGTCTCTGTACTTGAGGAATGGATTTGTAAAAAAAGGCTGCAGAGACCCGCAGGCTGTGCTTCGGGTTGAGTATCCAGGCGAAGAAAGTGCAGAAGCTCTGACTGTCTGCATGACCTGCATTATAAATGTGTTTGCTTACAAGGCGAGCGGCCCTCCCCCCACAAGCACAAGGGAAACTGTGTCTGTGCAGGAGCTTGAAAACATGTCGTGGGGCGAGTTCTGTGCGCACCCGAACAAAGACGCAATTGCAGCGCACTTAGTAGATGCGTGCACTGCCTCAAACAGCCCAGACGTCACAGAGGAAAACTTTGAGTGTCTTCGGACGGGCCTTTGCGAGAAGCCCATTTTTATTATGCCAGAATGCAAGCACACCATTTGCATGAACTGTTTGTCTTCGGGCCAGACCTCCCTCTGCATCTTTGACCCGGATCTTATTCAGCAGGCCCATGTGCAGTCTATAAAGTGCCCGCTGTGCCGAAAGATCAGCCTGGTTACATGGAAGATTCAGTATCCTATATATGCAGAAAAACGGGACTTTTTAAACAGAGACATGCTTTACACACTGGAGGGCGCGAACACGCCCCGGGCCAATGGAGCGGCGCCTGTTGAGTGCGCCTTCTATCTCTGCAAGATGTTTGAGAAGGAAGAGTACTACACCCACGCCCTCCCATACCTCACCAAGCAGGCAGTTTTCATTGGAACGCGGCGCACATTTTCTCTTTTCTCGTAAAATGGTTTTGTGCGCTTTTCGCTGCAACAGCTGCTTTGAGCCGGTAATTTGCCGTGATGCATGAAATAAAACCAGAAAAGTCCAGATGTAAAACGAATCTTTTCTGAAGGCTGATGCTGAGTCTGCAAATTCACTCTGATCTGTTTTTGCAGAAAACATATCAAAAAGACGCCATGTGCATTTAGATGGCAGCCAGCGCATTTTTGAAGTTTTATGTTGCTTTCCACAGGCATAAAGTGCACATCTGCTCTGGCCGCGCTCCTGGGCGCTGCCGCCTCAGAATCCAGCGAAGGCCCGGAGTCTTTTGACACCATGAGCTTCAGCGGCAGCGAATCGTCTACGCCCCATCTGCCCAGAAAGCTCATGTTCTGCATCAGCCCGCAAAACCAAGAAAAAACTCTTGTGCAGCTGCTTGAAGTATACATTAAAGAAAAACAAAACAGCGAGTATGCAAAAACCGCGTTTAAGCACGTGGAAACGGACTTCTACAAGAGCTGCGGAGTTTTTCTTGCAGACACGCCCGCCCAGAGCCCCTTCGAGATGGTCAAGTCAATATGCAGCAGTCTTGCCACACACTTGGCGCACCCGCAAGAGCATACTGTGTGCATGAATGTCATGATAAACACCGTCCAAATGGATCCAGACGTAAAGTATGTCTTCCCGCTGGATGCGTCTCCGCAGGCCGTACTGACGCATCTGTGTGCCCTTGAGAAGGGGAGTGGCGTCGACGTTTTGTCGGTCCGGAACATAAAGGAATTTGTTGCGATGGTGGACCCAACCATCCATGCGCTGATATACAGAATTCTCTGGCATCATGCGCGCTTCAAGCTGTATATGCATTTTTATATTCTTGTACAAGACAAAAAAGCTCTTCTTGAGGCGGGCATTCCCTTGGAAGATGTCAACAGAATTGGGCTGATGTATAAAAACATGAAGATACCTGAATCTTCCTGTGTGCGGTACATGCAGCTTCCTATTCTGTACACCCTGGCGCACAACCTCATTGCGAGCATGATTTCTCTGCGAGACCAGTACTTTGTAAACGTTCTGAAAGCGCTTAGAGCTTCTGACGCTTCTCCAAAGGAGCAGATTTTGCACATAACCCAGGTTTCAAGCGAGTTCTGCATAAAGTCAATTGTCTTGTGCAAGGACGCTGGCCTGAAGGCCGAGCTAGCCATGAAGGGCGCAAGCTTCCACACCATATACAATTGGGGGATTTTTTTCTTGCCTGCCGAATAGCACATGCCTGAGCCTGTCTGCTGGAGCACACTTTGTGGTTTTGCACCGATCGCTTAGAGTGTGTTTAGACTGGCTGTGCCTTTTCCAGCTTCCATCGCTTTTTCGGGCTTTTCAGCGCTTTCTGCCTGCACATATGGGCAAGCAGGCCTGGATCGCCCCAATGTGGGTGCATTTGAATAAAGCATGCCCCTTCTACCTACAAATGTGCAGTCTGTGTTTCCTCTGGCCCCCAGGAAGTCTGGAAAGAAAAGCGCTGGCATGGGGCAATAAAGCGTCTCAAGCCTTTCATCTGCGTGCTTTATATCTTTTTCCATCGGGGCGCCAGTCATAATGTATGTTTCTTCTGTTCTATAGATTCCTTGCTTGTCGCAAACAGCGGAGTTCCGTTTTTGCAATTCCTCTACAACAGCAGTCAGCCTCGGCGTTCTGCATGTGTGGGCGATTTCTGGCTCTCTTTTATGCTTAAACAAAAATAAAGTGTACTTTACATGTTTTTTTCTGGCTGCAGCAGCAAAAGCATACCCCACATATTTGGAGTAGAACTATTTGGAAGCGGTTAGCACAAACAAGCGCTGCTGCGTGCCGAAGGCATATATTTGTGCCTGGCCATTGTTTAGAAGGCCTAACGAGTTGTGCTTAGTAGCCAGCGCAAGAGCAAGTCAAATAAATGTTGCGCATTTGCAGGCCAAGAACAAATAAAGAGCAAGGTTTTACATGGCACCTCCTGTGTTACAAACATCGGCAAACTATATGCATTTATTTAGAAGGGTTTTTCAATGCTGCCAGAGCAAACAGCCTGATATTCGGGCCGGCTGCCCACAACATTGCTTTAAACACATAAAACGCCTCAATCCATGAAATGCATGCATCTTCCTGGTTCTTGCATATATGCATTCTCGCGCTCTGCAAGCTAGTTTTTTTCTATGTGCTAATGCAGCGAATATATTTTTCCTCGTCAAGCACATTGGTAAAGAGGGATGCTGGCAAATTTAAACCCAAGGGTTCTACTAAGGGCGGTGTGTAGAGACCACTCGCATGTGCGTTTCTTTTGTTTAGCATTCTTTTTTTCTATCGCTTATGTGGGGTCTCTTTGTGCGGAGAGGAATAAACATTTTTTACACAAAAGCAGGCTTCTTTTCTGGGTGAGAGTGTAGGCGTACTTTTTGGTAGGTAGCACACCGCAGGCTAACTTGCCAGAAAAAAGCTGGTTAACGCGAGGGCTCATGCAGGGATTCAGAACTATATATGCTCTCTGGTAAAAAGCTGGAATCAATGCTTTTCAATAGCTGGGGGCCCCTTGTTTTCTGCTGCGCATATGGGTCATCGCTCAGATCATTGCTCGCCACGGGCCCGCCGTGTAGCGACTCGTCTAACATGCTCTCTATGCTGTTCCAGCATATTTCTCCGTTTTTAATCCACTGCATAACCTTGAAAAAATCCTGTTCTTCCTGGGCGTTTGCAGATAAGTCTTTATGTGTGTGTGCATTGCTGTGGCTCTCTGGAGGAAATTTGTTTTCAGTGTGGGCATGGTCAGAGTCAACGACATCAAAAAAGCGTTCAGGGTTTTCCATTATGTTCGCCGACACACATTCATCTATGTAGCTTTCGAAATCTGGATATTGCTCGAGCGTCAAGCTGCCGCTTCTTTGCGAGTGGCCTTGCTCGGATGCATGCGCTTTTTGGAGGCATGTATAATATATAAGAACTAGAAGGCAGGCAGTAAAACGCTTATGCACCATAATAGTATAGGTATGCACTTCCATTGCAACAGAATGGACAGACAGTATTAATAGCCCAAATCAACTATTGCCATCTTGCAAATTGCATTAGAGACATCTGATTTCTGCACTTTGTTTTTTTCAATGATGTATCTCTTCTGAAAAGAGGCCAATAATGCCAAAAACCCAGCATGCGAGGAAAGTCCAAATAGGAGAAGAGCAGAAGCCTGCTGCCACGGCGCATATGCACAGATAGCATAAAGCTTTGAGTGCGGGGGCCTTTGAACTTTACATGTTGTCTGGAGATAGAGCGTGATATGTGGCAAGCTTTTCTGAAGCGCAAACAAATGATTTATTCTGAAATAATGGGCTGATCAAAGCAAAAATGCATCAGAAGATTTTTTTCTTTAGAAAGTCAATGTTGCGCATGCGCAAAGAGCTTATGTTTGTGTAAATTAAAAATAAATTTGGGGCTCTTTGCAAAACTTGCAAAAATAAAGAATAAAAAAAGTTAGTAATTTTCATAAACAATTTATTTTTAATTTCTACTAACAAATTTTATGCAACTACATTGTTTTCTAGCAGCAATCATGATTCACCAAGTGTGTGCAAGGCTTTCTATTGCGCAGCTGGAGTCTATGCCGAGCTTTGAGCTGTGCAGAAACGGCACCGCCGTAGGAATAAACACGGAGGGCCCTCTTAACATGGCGTGCGGATATGTGTACACTGAAAGAGGCTTTATGCACAACAAACGGTTTTTTTCGTCTGAAATAGAGACAGATTACAGCCTGCGCCCCAAGGGAGGGCCTGAAAGCATTGATTCAGAGTATATCTTTACCCGAATGCCAAGCATGGACTTCGCGCTTCCGTGCGCTGGCGCAGAGGGTCCGCTGGACGCATACACCCACGACTACCACAGCACGCTCATCCGGATGTTCCCGTCTGAAGAGGGGGAGCTTTCGATCAAAACCGAGCGAGAGAACTCGCTTTTCCAGACGC